TGTGTAGGAAGGGTTGGTTCCGGCATCTTTCTTTTAAAACAATTGTCAAATTTTTCCAATCAGAACGTCCTTGTGGCCGCCTATTATGGGGACATTTTCCCTCATTTAGTAGTATACTCAGTGCCGGCATGGGGATGTGAGAATAGAAGGACCAGATTTCTATTTTGACTTCAAAAGAGAGCAGCAATTCACACCATCTTTAAAATCAGCTCACAAACTTCATGCAAAGATTTTTTTCAGTCTTCAAATAATTTTTAAATTTTTCCAAGCATAAGTTATACCTCCTTGAAACACGCATTTTTAAAAAAAAAAGAACATTTCCATCTTTGCAAAATCCAGATCATAACCATATTCTTTGCGAAACAGTTTAAATCTTCAGATAAGTTAGGCTACCAAAAAATTCAACCACCTTTTTCAAAAAACTTCTTTATTATAACGGTATAGTGATTTTCAATACATTGCCAACCCATCTGATAATTGAGTCAAACCCTGTTCATTTAAAAAAAATCACTTTGAAAATTACTGGCATCCAAGTGTTACTACCGTGTCCGTGATTTTATTGCTGAGGTGAACTAGCAAATGAACCTCAACCTGGAGGCGAGTTAGCGTAGTGAACGAGCTACCCTGAAGGCAAGTGAGCGTAGCGAACAAGCTAACCTGAAGGCAAGTGAGCGCAGCGAACGAGCTCCAACCTAAAGGTGAGTGAGCGTTGCGAACGAACTTCAACCAGGACGTGATTGAGCCATGCGAACGAGATCATCTTGAAAATTAAGAAGTTAAACGGGGCACAGCCCGCGGGTTACAGCTAGTAGTTTATATAAGACACTCTGTATTTTTTATGTATATTGACTTAGCCAATGCATTAATGTACGTCTGGCCAAATAATGACTTATGACTTAGGCACACGTAGGATGCAAGTGAGGAAATATTAGAATAATAAAAAATACTTACCCGGTAAAAGAAAGGAATATTCCAGTAAGAGCAAGCACATCCATCATATATTCTGTGTCAAGACCAATATAAGGGGCAAGCCACAGCAAAGTTGGTTTGTTGTGAATATTTCTGACCAAGTTGTCATCCTTAGCTTCAAGTTGAACATGGGCTGGTAACACACCATTCTCACCATAAAGTCCTGGAATAAATAAACATAAGTTAGCCTAATTCAATTACCTACTTCTTCTAGGGCCTACATGTAAAGACGTAAGTAATAAAACGGTAGCCAATTTTACACTAGGCCTACATAAGCATAAAATCTAGGCTACTCACCCGGTATTTGGATGTAAATGGACGCAAATGCAAACAGGTAAATAACATTCATGCATCGTAGAAATAAATGTTTCGTGTAGCGGATTTCAACCATTTTATTAATTTAATTTGAATTAAGTTATGTGATTAGAGATCAATTCCTCAAATGCATGCCGAAAACGCGATGGACCAATGGAAATGAATGATAAATACTAGGCTAGGCTAGGTCTAATTGTTAATTAAAGGGGGGAATCTGTCTGTATCAGAATTCTTTTCTACTTTTAAATCAGCGCAATGTCATTAATCAATAATTTAAAATGTAAAGCCCATGTAAAAAATGCAAATTAAATCAAATCTTTCCTGTCGCCGTCCTGACAGTTAAAAAATCCAAGCAGCCCAAGCCCATAACATGAAGAGAAGAACAAGAAATACGAATACGAGATTTGGATTGGATTTGATACTCGACGTTCTGTACACACGAGCACCTCAGCTTCCACATGCACAGGATAACAGCTATTTGTATAGCTTCACTGTATATCTTTAATTGGACCTGTTTAGATAGTTGTTTCGTTTCAACAGTTGCAATTTGCAGTTGCGAACTGTGCATTGTGATTTTAAGGTGTTTATTCTTTACTGTTTGTTTATTTTGACTTGAGCTGCTTGAAAAGGTGTTTTATGAGTATGAAAATTAAAGTGTTGTGAGTGAGCTGAAGCTGATTAGGCCTATTTTTTATTAGGTATTAACAATTAAATATTTTGCGTGCATGAATTATTTATGAACATTTAAATGTTCACTTAACCTATCTTTTTCGGATTCCTCAAGAAAGAGTGATTGTTAATGTTAGGTTGAGTTGCGTTTGTGTGTGAATTTGTTAGATTGGAGTTTTGGTAGTGGTAGGTCTAGGTTTATTTTGATTAAGTTAGTTGGGCCTTTCAGTGGAGTTTAGGTCTAAGTTATTGCCTTTGAAAAAGTTAAATTAATAACTTATCTATTAATAAGAGTATGCCTAAGTTAAGTTTACCTTAGAGGTTAACTTAGACCTACCACTACCAAAACTGCAATCTAACAAATTCACACACAAACAAACACCTAACCTAACCTACCTAACAATCACTCTCTCTTGAGGAATCCGAAAAAATATAGGTTAAGTAAACATTTAAATCTTCATAATTAATTCATGCACGCGAAACATTTAGGCTAATTGTCAATACCTAATAACAAATCAGCTTCAGCACACTCACAAAACGTTAATTTTCATAATCATGAAACACCTTTTCAAGCAGCTCAAGTCAAAAGTAAACAAACAATAAAGATTAAAGAATAAACACCTTTTCAAAATCACAATGCACAGTTCGCAACTGTAACTGTTGAAAAAAACAACTATCTAAACAGAACAGAAACAGGTCCAATAAAGATATACGGTGAAGCTATTACACAAATACCTATTATCCCAGGAACTGTTCGAAGGCCTTCTGTGCTTGTGGAAGCTGAGGTGCTCGTGGGTACAGAACGTCGAGTGGATTTGATTTGGACGTTTGGATCCAGGCAGGAACGGAATAAAGAGTAGGCAGATTACTAGAAAATAGCCCAGAAAAGTAATTGATTAAGTTATTACCATATTACCAAATGTATGGTTGTTCAGTACTTGTAATCAGTCCTACATTATCTTTTTAAAATACTTTGATTTTGAGATGTGTACGCACCAATCATATCAATAAACATGTAACATGGCAATATATAATCTATTTGTTGTAAAATGGTGTAACCATTGAGAGGGAATATGTCATTAGACCTCAGTCCTACATTATCTTTTTAAAATACTTTGATTTTAAGATGTGTACGCACCAATCATGTCAATATACATGTAACATGGCAATAATCCAGTGGCGTAACAGAAGGGCCCGCAATGCGCGGGGGCCCGCGAGCTGAGGGGGCCTGCGAACCGGTGAGCAGAGAGGCCCGTGAGACGAGTGAGGCCGAAAAATTGGAGTTCATTCTCTTATTTAAATGTATTATCAATCATTCAATAATTGTATTGAACAAGTAATAACATTGATGTTATTAATAATATGTTGTTATCAGTTATCGTTTAATTTCGTTAGGCCTCTTCAGTGTTAACGAACTAGGGTAACAAATTTAAGGTGTTATAACGTGGGTCTTTGATTATTATGCAATCTTACTTTCGTCACCGAGAAATATTTTAAGCCCCCCACACACTACCAGACCAGACCTACAGACCAGACCGTCTGGTCTGGCGTCTGGCACTTGTCTTATCGTGTGTGGGGCTGTCTGCAGACCGATTTTCTCGGACCAGACGGTCTGCGTGTCTGATGGTTGAACCCTCAGACCACAGACGGTCTGAGGTTCCCCCACCACTATTTTTGTCTGGTCTGTGAGTGTGTAGCGCTGTCTGTCAGACGTCAGACCGTCGCGACAGTCTTCCTGTTGCACTGTTGCAGTGAGAGTGAGTGATTTGCATTGGGCGATCAGCTGATTTACTAATAATATTAGTTTGTTTACGATTAATTTTCGAATGTTGGAATGTCTGGTCTGGGAATGTGTAGAGCCGGGCAAGACGGTCTGGTCTTAGCCAGACGGTCTGGTCTGGAGGTCTGGTCTGGTAGTGTGTGGGGGGCTTTACTTCTCGGTGATTTCGTACACTGCTTATGTCGTCTGCAAATGATAATGAATAATCATGTATTTGTTGTAAAATGGTGTAACCATTTGAGAGAGAACATATTATCATCATCAGTGAGTAAACAGCAGTATAAGAGTACCCAATTATGATTATGATACTAACTATAACATTTGTTATTTGATGTATTTTTGTACTTTGAGGTAATTTAATAACACTTACGATATGCTGAACAAAAAGTTATTTATGACATTAAGTGATCTTATTTTCTTAAATACTGAATATGATTAGAAAATTGATAATAAGCTGACTCACTCGATCAAGCGTCTTGGGCGTAAACTTTTCATGAAGAAGCTCGTCCCTCTCCTTAAGTCAAGAGCGTGGTACTACTCACTAAAGGATTTTTTTGAGGATAGTTTTCCTGAATTGTCTGACTAAACCGCATATCCACATACCAAAGTTTTTGTAAATATTTAATTTATGTTTGTATCTAATCGAATTCAGTTGTTTTAAAATGATTTTGTATATTGAAATTCTGACGCCATCAATCCCTTATTGGGTAAAATATGAAGACATGGTAATAAGGTAATAATAAGGTAACAAAAGAATAATCTACAAAATTAAATCATACACTAACCAACTAGAAAGGAGTATGTTGTATCATAGACTAACCAATGTTTTATCTATGGTTTTATCTATCATTACATTCTCCAGACTTTATACTAAGACGAAACTCAACTAATAGTGTGTCAAAAGTCAATGCTGTCAAATCACTTTACTGAAAGTCAATTGCACTTTACTGCAATGGTTACACGCCAATTGTTTATACACTAAATAAACACTCCAATTGCCTTTACACTCAGGACCAAACTAATCTATGTTCAGTGAATAATATCATAGATAAAACATGTTTTATCTATGATAATATCATAGACTAACCAACACAAGGGAGTATGTTTTATCTATGATTATACGTTAAAAACTACTTGATAATCAATAAAGTAATTTCCTTTGAATCTCTTTTCTTACAGTCTGTGTCCATAACAGCTGTTTTTTATTTGTTTATTTTCTCCTTGCATTGTGCATTTTTGCTCTGTTTGTGCTTTATATTATAATCAAACTAGGCTTGTTTCGTTACTGTCATTGTATTTGGATTTTGTCCATGTCTATTTGGATTGTTAAATGCTGGTTCCGTTTTAATTTTATTTTCATCAGCAATTAAAATGTCCGATCTTTTTAAATCTGCGTTTGGTTACTTTAGCAGTAACACGCCCGGTCAAGGAAATGAATTGGTTGGGCAAGTCGTTGAAATCGGTAGTGTAAAATTACGAGTGAAAAAAGTGATTGCAGAAGGTAAGATTGTTGTTCAAATTGTTTATATATCACCCATTTTCTTTTAATCGCAACCTTCCTAATGACTTAAACAAATACAAGCAAGTTAAATTCATTTTAAAATTAAACTTTTGGGTTCACATCTGTGAAGCAAGGCCCTGAACTATATTACCGTACGTTGTAAACCGTCCAATACAGTATGTAGATAAGCCTCAAAACTCCTTATCGTGACGTTCAAAAGACATATTTTGAGGTTTCCAATAAATCTTATGAATCTTGAAGGTGTTGTAAATGTATCATAAACACTTCAGGATAGGAAATAATCGAAGAACACCAAAATAACTTGGATGCAAGTCTTAGGTTTCTAAGTGGGTTCTTGTGAGTTAGGAACAAAGAGACTTCCTATTAGGCCTAAGCATAACTAACTTTTGAAAAACTTGAATTCCGGAGATCTGTGTTATAAGGAATAGGCCTATCTTACATGATAACTTAGTTTTTGACTAGTGAGCACAATAATCCAAAGGCCCCAGTTCCTGAAATAGTTAAGTTAGTAGGTCTACTTAGGCCTAAGTCTAGGACTGATTAAAATTAAGGAGAGGACACGTAGGAGTTTCATTGAAGCTGCGCTCTGCCGCCGCGACCGAACTGAGGAGGGGGCGCAGTGCTACTCTCTCCCTTCTCATAAAGTGTGGATAAGGCTATTGATTAGGAAAGTACTATCATTGACAATAGGATAACATACTGACGTTTACTTCCCATCTATATGGACCAGATGTAACCAATCTTTTATTAGGCCTAGGCCTACAAAAGAACATAGTTGTGTATGAGCCAGTCACAGAATGAGCTAACTTAGTGTCTAAAATTCTATTTTATACCTACCCTTATTTTTTGCTACTGACCAGGTTTATGGTCGTAACAGTTTTGTTATAACTCATCATTTTAAGTCATTCCCTAAGTTTGACTTGGTACTTAGGCTAAAAAAGTTTGTGTAGGCCTATTTGACTGAAATGAGTAGGCCTAATTTAGATCAGCGCAATCTGTAGGTGGGTCAGATAGGCCCACTCTATGACGATTTCGATGACAAATCTGGCTACAAATTTAACATGGGGATGGAATGTCTAGTTGTACTGTATTAATTATAGTTAAAGGTACCTATTATTCAAATTTCAAAATTCACGGCTGTTGGTGTAATAAAAGTGAGCACACTTTGAATTTAACTTTGGCTATTTAAAATCACCTGCCTAGCACATACCCTTAAAACTAGAGCAAGAAATGGTTATTCATATTCAAACATCTTTATTCATCATAAATCATGTACATTGGTGGTAGGCCTACAGTGAATAGTGTCAGAATAATAAAAATAAAAATACTATGATTCTTTTTTACTTGTGGGTGTATTTTGAATTTGCAGTTATGAAAGCACCAAGCCAAGTAACTTAAGCACTTTAATTAAAGACTAGTGTACATGTTGCTCGAATTCGAGCAGTATTACAGGATTTGCAAACCAATAACAATCATACTTAGCTATCAACATGTCAACAAAAACACACGTCTACCTTCCCTGTAGCAGCAAACCTAAGTACTCATATTAAAATTAACTTAATGTTATTTAAATGACATATTTGATTAATGTTTATGATCCCTACTGTTCCTGTTCTAATAATCATGCAGTATTTAATATGTTTGAACCAGCTGTGTGGAATTGTGAAATCAAAATTAATTTGACAGTTAGTTCTGCTTGTTTACATTTTTAAATTTTGTGGGTTTGTTCTTTGTTACCATGGATACCATCAATAAATATTTCACTCTTAATTTCTGACAACAGCTGGAGTTCCATAACAAATTTTGTTTCCCATGTTAATCTTATGGATAAATACGAAACTTTAAAGGGCCCCAGGGCCTCACTCTCTAATTATTTCCTTAAAAAGAAAGTTTCCTGCACAACTTCACGTTACGCTCTTTCCAATGACACCAAAAACATGTCAATTGGTTCAGTAGTTTCGGAGGAGTAATTGTCACAAAAAACCTGCTTGCGTATTAAATAAGTATAGATATAGATTAGCACTGTTCTTACCCAGACCAATTTCGGTCATGGGCAACTATATTTTAATAGGTTACACATATTCATTATGGGAAATTTTGAGGGTAATCTTCCTGAAGGTAACTTTAAGACTAAAATCGTAGTATTCATGGAAGTGCTTTTGTAGTCTACACCTTATTGTCTACAAATTGGTACATTATAAAAGCTGAAAGCTTTTTTACGTTGACTTAAATTGTAAGCTTGCCCTTCCCCATACATGGGCAGTTTGATAGTTAAAATTTAACCCTTTAAACTGGAATAGGACTGTTATGTAAATTGTGAGTATTTCCATTAGTTAATAATCTTTTAGTCGACTCTTTTAAAATCATCAAAAATGGTGACTGTTATTAGTTTTTAAACGTTTATAAATAACTCCTGTACTGCTTTGCAATTGCTCGATTTCGAGCAACATGTACACTAGTTAAAATAAAAATACTATTTCTACGTAAGCTATGGGAGGTAGAAAACTCCTCAAATTACTGTTACTGAATTTATTAATTGCTCAGATTCATTTTTTTTCAATAAGAATTGTTTCATAAATATATTGCCCATAAACTTTAAACATTTGTAGGCCTAATTTCTCAAAATGTTCTTCTTGAATCATCTCGTTTAAGCTTAAGCATAATTCTGATAGCTGTTCTGATAGTTTTTTGTGAATTTAATAATAAGTTATGATTGTAGAAATAGTTTCCAATATTCTCTAATTCTACATATTGTAAACATTTCAGTTTCTTCTGGAGAGTTGGATGATACTATCAAATTAGAATCATCATAAAATAAATAAATCAGCGTAAAGACATAATATAGAATTTTGCTTGTAGGTTAAATTATCTTCCATGCCTTTAAGGTAACAAAAAAAAAAAACAAATGCTCCAAAATTGGTTAGGTTAGCCTATTTAAAAATCTAGGTACATAATAACAAAAAATGCTAACTTAATTTAAAATGTTTTTCACCATCCAAATTAGGCCTAAACTTTTCATGTAACCTAAATTTAATAAGCTTGGTTTTTAAACTGTAAAAAATTAAAAATAAATAGGTACGGTACGGTAGTTATTGTAATTATTTTTTTAATAGCATACTCCTATTAAATATGGGTCAATATCATAGAACTTTAAACATGAAAGAAACGCTGAGTCAATACAGTGAAAAAGCCGGCCGCGGAAGGGCTCCCCTCCCACCACAAGTCAGTGGCACTGACCCATGTATCACAGGACGCGTTACGTTTTCCTACAAATTCCGTCAGGTTTTCAGGCTTTCATTATTATTAAGACCTTGATTGTGGTGATTTATTGGTGTGTGATGATTCTTTTATCACAACATTATTGAAAATGCACTTAGTTTCTTACGAGTAGGTTTTATTGTTTGTTGTGCATTGAATGCCACACAGACAATTTCGCTCCATTATTCACTCAAACCTACTCACACCACTCGTAGGCCTATATTCGGGTTAAAATACGCACCTAGCTGATTTGCTAAAGTTCCTATGTCAGGGACCTGTTTAAGTTTGCCATTTATGAGATGGATCCATGAATGTGATACACTAACGAATTGTTTAAGATAAAATGATATTTGTCATAACCTTGTTAAATACCTAAGAAAGTATGTATTATTTATGACTGTACCTATTCGATCAGTGGTCGTTTCCAAATTGGGACTAAAGGTAAACCTAAGACTTTCTCTGTGGTACGGTATTTGATCAGTTGTCATCATTCAATTTTGTTCGTTTGTAGGCCTACTGTGTTTTGCGGCTTTATTTTAACATAGGCCTATGCTATGATTGTTCTGTTTACATTTACGTCGTTATTTTGTAACCATCATAACCCATTTAAGACCAATGTTAAATTTTAAAAACTTCGAGTTAGGTACTTTAAAATTATATAAACGTCACCAAAAATTGAAATTGGTTACGTCCAAACCATCCAAACATTTGACAAAACAACCTTGGTAAGTTTGGCTGAAATATGTTCAGCCGTTACTGAGATTAAGTGTTATAAAGATTGCATTGAAGTTGATCCCAAAGAGCTTCGCTTCGCTCTGATCAATTACCAAGGTATATCCACTGAATTTCCTGATGTTTTAGGTGGATTCGGGTTTGTTTTCGTAGCTCAGGCTGTTGACACCGGAAAGGAATATGCTATTAAGGTAAGAAGAAATATTAGGATTAAATGTTTTATATGTTGTAAGCTTAAGGTAAAGAATTGCAATATGTTTACAAAACATAATTTAATAAAAACAAATACTTTAGGCCTACATCTCTATGAAATTTTGACACATTTTTGCTGTTGAACATAAGTTATTGCATTTTTTTACTTGTAAACAATTACCATACAATTTGTAAATGAATAGTCTACTAAATACGAAATGGAAATTTTTATAAATCACAATTCCATTGTTTTATCTAAATAGGTATTTAGTCTATTTCAATTTCTAGATTTCTTTTTCTAGAAATTGAAAAAGAAATTGATTTAGTGTGTCTAGACGCCAGTGACTTTATTTGAAGTTCAAGTTAATTCATATTTTACTCTGGTGTTGTCATATTGCTTTAGGTTTCATATTATTTACAGTTAAAAATTTGATTTTTTGTAATAGTTAATTATTGTATTTTTATTTATTTATTCGTTCAACAAAACATTATAAACAAAATACATCTCATACAAAGCTACAAAAGTCTCAGTAGGCTTTTCCGCAGCTATAGATAAGAGTCCAGTTCAAGGTACGTTTCACAAATTCCAGTCAGTTTCATTTCTGGTACAAGCTATTCTCTCAATCTGTTTTACTAAATAGATAAGTATTCACATTTCTTTATCGTTTCTTAAATTAGGAAAACTAATAATATAACAACAATTTATTAATGTTAGCTGTGTTTATTTTTCAGCGGTTAATGGCTGCAGACGACGAATCTAACAAAGCCATCACTCAAGAGATTAACATTCTTGTATCCTTTATCTTATGAAGTGTTTCACTATTTCTGCAGGGTTGCATGAATGCTAATGGTAAAAAAAATTGTGTAGAACTTGAAATTTGCTTAATTTAAAGATTTGCTGTAAAATGGATATGATTTTTATTTTTAGGTAAATCGTGTTTCATGAAGATGATTTAGATAGAAAGACTTGCGGGAAATTACTATGTAGACTAATTTGTTTCTTATTTTCAACTATGATTTTGGTTTTTGATTCTTTAACACTTGCTGAATTTCACTAGGTTAGTCGGCATCCAGTTCAGATCGCGGCAATGTCAACCAGTACTGTGGGTGCGACAGGCCTGTTTGTTGTGTTTTTGTTAATAATTGTAAAATGTTATTCGTGTTCGTGTTATGTGTTTCAACTACGACGACGCTACTTCAGCTGAATGTTCAACGTCTGACGATGGCATTATAATGCCAAAACGGCCGTAACTCAAGTTACAACAGTTTGAGCTGTAGACGAAGGTAAATACCTATTTTTAAATACCTTTATTTTGTGTATTACATTTTATGTTACTGATCTCTGTTAAGTTTTAAGTTCCTGAGTTTGTTTTAAAAGTGTGTTATCAAGAAGAGTAGACTACTAGAAATGCAAGTGTGTTTGCAAAGACTATGAAACGGCCTCTTGAGCTAAAACTGCTAAAACATAGTTACTCCCACCCATGAGAAAGGTTGTTGACAGACAAGCTAATGGGAGATAGTATGACGTGTCAAATTGCTGCTACCGTTTATTTTAAATTGTTTTCCTGAGCCAAACCTACAGAAACAGCTGGCTGGTCATCCCAACATCATTCAGTTCCTGTCTGCGGCTTTCATAGACAAGAACCAATCGGGGCATGGCATGGCGGAGTACTTAATTCTCACTGAGCTCTGCATCGGTAAGTTTGACCTATTAATACAACTAGACATTCCATCCCCATGTAAAATTTGTAGCTAGATTTTTTAATAAACTCGTTGTAGTGATGTGAGCCACCGACAGATTTCGCTGATCTGAATTACTAAATTCTATTGAACACACAAACTTTTTACCTTGAAGTCAAACTTAGGGAATGGCTTATGGTGAGCTATAGCAACTGTTATGACTCATCAACTTGGTTAGCGTAACAAAATAAGGTGTAACATAGATTTATAGACACTAGCACAGTTTGTGTGTGGCTCACACAACTAGGTTCTTTTTTAATAAAAAATTGGCGACAGTTGTTCCATATAGATGGGATGTCTACTTCAGTATCCAATAGTCAATGGTTTTAGCTAGTGTGTTATTTTTATATTTTCTTAGAAGAGTTTGACTGTTTTAAAAACTTTGTGTTTTTTTGGGTACATAGTTTTCTTAGTTAACGTTAACATGGTTACTTTTTTGAGACGTTTGGTGTGTTTTTAATGTTTTTGGGAGGATTTTTAAAATTATTATTACTTGCTTGTTTACATGAGTCTTGTGCTTCTATACCATACATGACACACATAATAAAAGTAAGACTGATATTCTCAAGTATCTGGTAAAAAAGAATACACCTGTTTATTTTAAAATGTCGAACAAAAGCTTTACAATTTATACTACTTAACTTTAACTTATCTTGTAAAACAAAGTGACACTTGTATTCACTATAGCAATTTGATTTATTATTTAAATTGTGGTTCTTGCTGCTGTTGGAGCTTTTGAAAATTTATTTTAAATGATATATTCATACTTCTTAGTTTAAAGTGGGTAATTCTATAAAGTGTTGAGCATATGAACACATGAAATTTGAACACATTGTTTCAAGCTCGTATACTTTAGTCACTTAAGGTCAAATTAATGATTTCAGGTGGCAGTCTGATAGATGTGCTGACTGCCCGCACTTCTCCCTTACCTCCGGACATCGTCTGTCGGGTGTTCTGGCAAGTGTGTCAATCTGTCAAACACATGCACAGTCTCAGCCCGCCCATCATACATAGGGATCTCAAGGTAAAGTAGGCTCGGGTCTCAGTGATGAATGAAAGGAGAGTGATTCATATGATAGACATTTGTTGACTAAGACCAGTTGGCTGCTTTGAAATTTGTTTATCATCTGTTTTTTACTGATTTTAAGATTAATATCTTTTGAAATGTTTTTGGCATGTGCATTATTTTGCTTGAGACAAAAATTGGTTTTCATGCCTCCGCCAAACAGTCTAACGATTAAAATTTGCTCAGTAGCTTAAATGTATCATGGCGAATACAACATTTTCAAAGCATGCAACTTGTCAATAACACAATTAAAACTAACATCACACTATCTAAATGTTTGTGTATTCGTATCGTCTTTATGTTCATATTGTATTTGTTTGATTGCATTTTTGATTAGTTGCAAGTTTTGAAAATGTCTTCGTAACAAAACTTGTAAGCTACTTAGTAATTTTAATAGTTGGACTATTTTACAGAGATATGTAAAGCCTATTTCCATCTTAATTACTTTATCTGCGATCTAAAAGAAACAGTACCTAGGCCTAAATAATATAGCTTTGATTATATTAGTTGAGTCCCAAAAGGTGGCAATGCCGTTACGTTCCATATGAATTACAGTTTATGCTAGGTGTGAAAGATTTCCGGATGTTTAAGCAAACAAAAGTACACATGAAATGCCTCCAAATCATTTTATTTAGAAAGCCACACAATGTGTACTCATTTATAGTTGTATAGAAAGGGAGTGTATAGAATGGAGTAAGATGACATTGTGGATCTGTTACTGCCAAAGATCAGCATTTTCTTTAGCTTGAAGGCCAATGATAAAGAACAGCTGGATCGAGTATCAAACAATCAAAGAGCTACTGATTTTTCTGGGATAAAATCGGAATCTTTAGGACTACAAGTTTCCTCTTTAGTTCAGGATATTCTCTGATATCTGATATCTAGACGTCATCTACGCCTCTATAGCTTCCTTTCCTCCATCATTTGCAATTCTAATCTTTTCTCTACATCCCTTCCCCTCTTCACCTCATATACCTTCTTCTTTCTCTTGGTCTTTTCACAACAAAATGGACGTTACGTCAGAAAAGAACTGTCATTTATACAAGCTTGTAAGAAATTTGAAATTGCTTGTTGAATTAATAATCTCTGTTTAAAATAGATTTGTATTTGCAGATAGAGAATTTGCTATTGGACAGTGAGGGGAAAATCAAGCTTTGCGATTTCGGAAGTGCTACAACACAGGCATTCTATCCTGATAACAACTGGACGGCTCAGCAGAGAGCCATGCTTGAGGACCAGGTGAGTTGACAAACATTTTGAACACTTAGTATCTTTACTTGCTGCTATACCCTTCACATCTGTGTAAAGAGGCTGAAAAGAGTAATGTTTTTTAAATCTTCTACACTCGCCCAATTGTAGAAAGAAAACCTGTAAAACTTTTTGTATACAATTTTTTATGGTTTAATTAAATTAACTTTGTGACAGGAAAAAATTCATAACTTCTGTGTGGTATGGTTAAATTACTTTGGTAGCCGACAATTGAATTTTATATTGGACAAAGATTTCACGAATTACTAGAAATATTATTTAATTTTTAATGTCTCGCACACTTTTTTTGGAATCCTGGAAGTCAGTTTGAGTATGGAATATGATCGTACACTTTCTTTGTACCTAGTTAATCCTTAAATAATATAAATTAACTTCAAACTGTTACTTGCATAACAATTAAAGTACCGGTAATGCAATTTAAATGGGAAAGAAATGGTAATTGATGCCATTAAATAATAAAGACATTGAGGAACTTGTACATAAGTAGACAGTAGGGCCTAGAGCAGTGTTGGGGAAGCTACTTTTAAAATGTAGCTAGCTACAACTACTGCTACATTTCCAAAAAAGTAGCTTAGCTACAGCTACAGCTACAGTTCCGAAAAAGTAGCTAGCTACAACTACAGCTACAATGAAATGTAGCTACAGCTACAATTTTAGCTACTTTTCCAAAGACGTTAGGCCTACTTTTTATTTCACGCACATTAGGAAAATGTAAAATTAATTGCAACTACATTTTTACTGAACAAACATTAAAAAAATGTCAGTATTGTATCTTAACATTAATTGGAAAACAAATTATTCCTAGATTGTATTTAATTTTTTGGCATTATAAACCTAACATTACAACAACAGAACCAAATAGTTCGGTGTCCCATCATATTTAGTACTTATTTTTAAATATCACATTATTTTTAAGCATCTTAAATGTAAATTTCATTAAGTTCAAAGGACATACAACCAAACTATATTTTAAAAGCTCATTTTATTTCTTTAATATAGATTCATTTATAGATGTCTTATATCAACAATTAAGACCAATAAAACTGTAAAACGATTATTTAAAAATACTTTTTTGTGTTACAGAGCCTAGCCTACTGAAATTGGAGTTTATTGCTTTATTTTAATGTTAAAAACGACATTGCTATAAACTTTTAAGTGATAAGTTACTTGTTCTATGAATAACACTTTTCAATGTCAAGAAATCGTCCTTTATTGTCATTATGCATAGGGCAAATTGTACTTCAACCTAGTTGGTACTGTACAGAAAACAGTATCCAGTAACTTATCCTGAAATAGGCTTTTAATTTAAACATGTTGAAATTTGTAAAGTAAAAATAACATGTAGGCCTACTTGGCTATGTAACAAGTTGGCTATATAGTAGGCTTGTTCTTGCTAGGACTAAACAGATAGGATTCCTAATAATTGAACTTGGAACTTGGTATTCGTCTTAAACCATAGCATAGCCTAGGAATTAATAGTCCTATACAAGAGCTGTTACCAGGAGCAAACTATGCTATTTTTTCAAAGTAAGTTTCATGTTATATGGAGATTTTTTCGTTACAATTGTCATTTAGTATATACATATCTTAAATCACATCAGGTAATTTCCTCTTTGTTAATTTAGTAAACCTTTGAAAAATCTTCGTAATCTAACCAAGGAAGGGCTTTTGATGATGAACCACAATCAACAGCTGAAGCAAAGGTTGATAGACCAGCTTTCTCATCATTTTAAGGTTTAGTGTTGGTTTCCATTAAAATCCAAGTTGAAACACCATCGGTATAATAAACAAACTAAATTGATTACTAATTTCCCTGTCAATCACTTGCAAGCATTCAATAGCTTCTCTTGTCACCGGTAACGTTTAAACGTCGTCTGCATCTAGCGATTTTATTTTATCTGACAGTAATCATAGAGTAGTAAATTAAGGAAATGAGAGCCAAAAATGTGGATAACACTCATTTTAATGGCCTCCATGTCCACACAACGTTGTAATAGGGATGAAACGGCTGCAACCAGCTGTATGAAGCCAAGAAAGTAAGGCCTAATTTTTTGAAAATCTGAGTTTGAAAGAGGTTGTTTCACGTAAGGTTGAGGTTATGATAAAAATCACTATCTCAAACAATGTTAATGTAGCGAGAAAAGTAGCTAAAACTCCGCTACAACTACTTTAAAAATGTAGCTAGCTACAGCTAAAGCTACAAAATCTTAAAAGTAGCGTAGCTACAGCTAACGCTACAAAAAAAAGTAGCGCGCTACTGTAGCGTCGCTACTTGTAGCGCGCTACTTCCCAACACTGGCCTAGAGATACCTGCAATAATAACCAGTGACAAAAGAAGAGAGAGAGGATAAAACTAGTAGTCTATATAGGCTACTGCAGTTTCATTCCCAAGGGGAACTTCATCAGATTTCGAAGGACATCAAATTTAATTCCAGAGGAGGTCGTCGACATTACAAAAACGTGTTACCGAGAAACACGTTATGCACGGAGGGCAGGTCTAGACTGATGCGTTATCTCGCATTAAAATATCCTAAAATTATTTTACATTAATCCTCGACATTCTGTAAAAATTAGGACGTCCATCGAAGGTAGTTCATTATGCTCAACTGCTTCCTATTTGTACTAATTGATGGTTTTTTTCATGATTTTGTCTGTGTTTTGTGTATTTTTCCTCCTTAGAAGGGATAAGATTCCAGATACCTAAACACTGTTAAAACTTGTTTTTTACCAACAATGGTTGAAAATATCCACTATAATCCCTCTAATAGCATTCAAACTTAGATTGGTACCATATCTCCCGTAAGATTTTAGACATTGATCATTTTGATCAAAATTACATTTGGAATTGCAGATGAACAGGTGTACGACGCCTATGTATCGAGCTCCCGAGATGGTCGACACCTGGAACAACTACCCAATAACATCGGCCAGTGACGTGTGGGCTCTTGGCTGTATGCTGTACATGCTCTGCTACAATAAACACCCGTTTGAGGACTCGGCCAAGCTGAGGATTCTCAACGCCAACTACACGATTCCCGCCGGGGATGCAAAGTACTCTGACTTTCATCCTCTCATACGTGAGTCTCAGTAGTTCTCTTGTGATAAAGTTTTAATTTTGTCTTGGACTCGGTGCTATCTGATATTTATCTACTGACGGTGTTTGTATGGTAACGGTCCAAACCCTGATCTTGTTTCTATAACGTTGAGCTTATAACTACTAATACTATTTATTTTTTAAATTCATAAAAAATAGGCTTTACAAAAAGTTCAATTTTTGGAATAGAATAGAAGAGAAAAACCATTAAAATTCAATTTCATAGCCCCAGGATTGCGTGTATAAGACAAATAATGGCTAAACGTACCTCATCAGACAATCCTTGACATGTAATATCGAGTGCTACATATGTTTCGGCGGTTATTTAAATAGCTCCGCCATCATCAGGCGAACAAATGGATACACTTGAAGTGTCGTCTCATTATGGGTTTTTTAAAATTTTATGTTTTATTTATTTATTCTGAAAACACATCAAGTGGATCCTTTTGATAGCCTAACGACAGTGGAGCTAAAAACATATGTAGCACTCGATACTACATGTCAAGGATTGTCTGATGTACATTTAGCCATTATTTGTTAGAGAAAAACAGCTCTCTGTATAAGTAAGCTGTTTGTGGGACTGAAGTGTGGTCCATAATTAGTTGTTTATATACTTTAAACTATAGCATAACACAGTTTATTTAATATAGGCTAATAAAGATTATTTTATTTTATATTTCGGTAAATTTTTTTTTTACTTTAAAGCTTACTTTATTATTGGTTTTAACTTTATTTTGAATGGATTTTGACATGATTTTCTCTGTGAACCTAATCTCAAATATCTACTGAAACTCACCAGGTTGTAATCTGTAATCTACCTCCATTTGTCTTTCAACTATCTGAACTCCAGAAAGTCAAGTTTTGAAGTTTTAAACTTAAATCACACAGAATCCTTATATGTTGTAATAATTAACAGTCTCCTTATGTAATTACAGGAGGATGTCTACAAGTGAATCCAGAATATCGTATGACAGTCTCAGACCTACTGGAGAGATTGGCAGCCATTGCGGAATCTCGCGGTGTCAACTTGCGGGAACCTCTCGCGTTGGAAGGCAAGCGGATAGACTCCAACGCCCGACCAGGTGATTCACTTTTCTCCGCACTTTGTGACAAACTTTCATTTCTTTGACCATAACCTGTACTAACCGAAATCCTCCATAAACATAAATTGTTTCTTTCTGAATGTATTTTTATGGTTGTAATAAACACTAGATTCCTTAATATATATTATGTTTTAGTGTAAATATGTATATTCCAGTTTACCAAACCTTATTGCATGTTTGCATGTTTATGGTGTAGTTAATAAAACTGTTTTTTGTTGTTATTTTTACTTAATTTTCCTATTTCATCCCATCCATTTCTAAAGTAATATGCTGGACATTTAGATTTACCATTTGGAGATACAAAATTTAAAGACAACAAAGTCAACAATTTAAGTTTTTTTTAATTTTTTTTTTTAGATTTTATTTCATCTGGGTTGTGCTTTGGTAAAGCAAACTTATAAATTTAAATGTTAGTTTTGTTCAAGGAAAGGCTCTAGACCATGATTTTGAATTGTAGAATAAGGATTCTAAAATTATAAGATAAATAACTTATTATTGAGGATGTTTTGAAAGTGCACTCACCACTTTGCAAATCTCTAAGATTTGAAAGAATTTTTTATGTCCATTTTTTTTAATTCTAAAAATGGCTTCAATACTACACTATACTCTGAAGGACAAATACATGCACCTCTTTTAATGTGATATTTATTTATATCACTCATTTGACAACTATCTATGAACACTAAGGAATCGAATATAACTCCACATAATTTACCAATGTGTCAGTTTGTTTTGTGTGAATTCATATTTTAGATGACAACTAGTTTCTTAATTCTTGATTTAGTAACCTGAGTTAAATCTTATAGCCTGGATATCCTACGAAGAGGTTTAAATGTTTCATTTCATATTGCTTGCCAATCCATGTACCAACAACATTGAAACTGCACACAAATAAAGTGGGCTCTGAAAATATTTTGTAACAATTAAGCTTCCTAAGATTTGTAGAAACAAAACAGTGGCATATTGAAAATTTTACGGATTTTCATCCTAAAAAATTACTCTCTTTTTATTAACTGATTTGTTTACTGGGTTTTAGTGTTGACACTCATTCTTGAACAGCTGTTTATTAAACGATACTTCTTAACCATAAAACATAACCTAACTTTACCAAGTGCAGTTCTATTGAAAAGTGATGAAGCTTATGGATAGCTTGTAATGTTGAACTTAAAGTTAAGTTTCTGGTAAAATTACAAGAGCAGTTAGGCAATTTTAGGCAGCCTACCCAAGAGTTAAACCAACTAGTAATCCAATAAAAACTGAATGAAAACCTTATTGTTAGGATCTGGCCAATTGTTGAATAAAATTACACAGGATCCAGTCCTAATTCAGTCAGATTAACGGAACTCTGGAATATAATTAACAAAAATAAGTTCTGGTCCTTTACCTGTAGGGCAACCAAAATTCATGGAACTGCCGAAGAGTTTTGCTAAAAACTGTGAGTCCTACTTTATATTGATATGATGAATTAATATATATATATATCAAGTGTAGGCCCTACTAATCAATTCCAAATTGACAACAAAGATTCAGAAACAAAGTCTAAGTCACGGTGTAATGCAGTACTGAGTTTCTTCTGGTTAGGTGCAGTATGTTCCAGTTTTTATCATCAACATTCATTATTGTTTATGTTATGCTCTTTTCTCATAGATAAATTTGTAATGTCTGATTAAAACGTACTTGTTGTGAGTGTGATTGTCTTGGTAATAGTTCACTGAAGTCCTTGCAAGATGAATAAGTTTTTGTAAAGGTTAACAACGTTATTGAAGCTGGCTTAAATTAAGAGTAATACATGATTGAGGTAAGTTTTGATGAAAAAAAAATCCTCTTGTACACAGCAGCCCACATAAAATATCTGATTGCTACTTTTTTGTATCATTAAAATATTGAGTAAAATAAAAAGAGATACTTTGTTTCGGAAATTTTCTCTCTGTTTGGATTTACATATTTTATCAAAAAAATCATGTTAAGTTTTCAAAACAAGTTCAATTAAATCAGAAACTGTTTGAATCCTTTTTTTTAACTAAGAAAGAATCATAAATCATATTTCTCAGTTTGTGAGGCATTAGATCCTTCCAATTTCATAACAAGCTACAACTGAATTTCATATAATGTCAAATTGATCACCTCCATTCTATTGCTTTTTCGCTCTTAAGCCAGGGGCAAATTAATTTCACCTATGTCAAATCACTATAGCAGAAGGATTTAATCTTGATTTTGTGTAGATTAATTTCAAAAAGTACATTGTAACAAATCCTATCGCAATTGAATAACTGTGTTATGTATTTGGTCAATTTACAGCTGGTCCTCCCCCTGTGACAAACAACGTAGGGACTAACAACGGTCTGGACCGACCCCCACCACCGACACAGATGCCTGCGTCTCCTCACAGGGCTCCCCCTCCACACCCACCCCCGCCTTCGAGGTAAGTGTCTTGACAAGTTTATCCTCAATGTTTTGACAAGTTTATCCTCAATGCTTATTCAGTAGTCCCACCGACACTTGCGTAATTTGTTCAAACTCATCTGTGAGCGCTAGTGTCACACTCATTTTCGCATTCACCCTTCCCTTTCTACTGAAGGTGATGTATTAGCTGATTGAGTTTAGCTCTGAGATTTGATTATATGTGTGGGTTCGATTCCTGTACAAGTGCGTGCAATTCTTATTAAGGTTACCAATGTGTCCAGGAGCTTATCCAGCAGGAGTTTGTGTCCAGCTTGAGATGAAGCTGCTGGCAAATAGTAATCGCTCACAATACCTGTTTTGCTTCTGTTTGAACACTATTATAAAAGACACAAATTTTCCTTTTTAGTTTTAATTTTTGTTAAATATCGACATATGTTAAAAGACCTAAAAAAACAGACATTTATAAAGAAATAAAAATTCTCACTTGAAAGGGTGAAACATACTATCGAGGCATTTTTCAGACCTCCCCCAGTACAACAGCCGCTACCCCCGGCTAGTGGCAGTGGCGGTGGTCTGTTCTCTACCATCAAAGGCGGGGCAGGCAGCTTCTTTAAAGGACTCAAAGATACATCTTCAAAAGTTGTTCAGACTGTCCAGCAGTAAGTACATAGTTAACAGATATATAATTTGCTATAATACTCAAAACCTGTTGTGAGTAAAAAATTTTGATTATTCAACTAAGGTAGGTTAATTTGTTTTGTTGTTATATGATGAAATACACTCCTCCCCCTGTTGTTGCAGCAAACCTGTGTACTAAGTGGATTCCCATTTTTCTAGTGTTTGTGGTCAAACAGATTTTAAATTAAATATTCTACAGTTATATCTAGATCCATTCAAAATATTAACTACATACTCATTGAGTAATAGAGTTTGCTACTACAAGGATCACACACATCTTGTTTTGTGTTAAATTTTAAAAGCGTACTTTGGAATAGAGAAATTTGCCAAATGTTATAAAAGGTATAGCTATAAACTAGACTATTATATTATTAATTATATTTTTTCCAATATGGACTACATGTAAGGCAATGCAAATTAGCCAATTTTCATCAAATCAGTTCACAAAAAAATTGTCAAGAGCCTCTAAAAAGCCATTTAAAATGGATAGTCATGAATTTACAAGCAAAAAGCTAAGCACTTTTTAATAATTTATATTTTTAACAACAACATTTACAAAAATAATTCAATTCAAATTGTTGTCCTTAGTAATAGGAAGTAGTCAATTCAAAAACTAGTTTGATTAACAAAAATATTCTATAAATTGTTTTCTTTCTCTTCCAATACTACAACACCCCCCAAAAAAAAAAAAAAAAAAAAAAATTAAAGAAATCATCCACAACCAGTGAAAAGTACACTCTTCTTTCCTATGGGCAAAATATCCTCATAATTAAAACGTAACAAGAACTTTAATTACACACTCTTTAAAATACTGTTTTAATAATGTCACTTTAATCATGGAGTTAAATGACAGATTTAATCAACAAATTTTCTCGTTAAAATAAAATAATATATTTTGTTGGAATAGTAAATTGAAAAGAAAAAAATAAATACACTAGAGTCCTTAGGAATAAAAATAGTTGCACATAGAATAAAAATAAACATAGCAATAGGTATTCGTACTGTCAAAATACCTTTAAATGCATTTAAACATTTATTTTAAAAACCAATATTTGAACAAATTTGTTTTGGTGTTAACTTTTCCGCCCAAAGACAATTATGTTCTGATACTTACCAGAATAAAAGATATCAATGTTTGATTTTACTTTCAAATTTTGTTTTTATTATCCCTAGAGTGACTGGGTTTTACTCATGCCACATTGACTATTTATGTGAGCGATGTGCGCATAACATTGAACATGAAGCAGTAACTCATATAGATAACCACTTATTGTACCACTCACCTTCAGTTAGTGATAGTAAACTGAACCTTCTATTGACAAACTTGGATACTCAAGCGCTTCAATGGATTACTTGCTTCGTTTCAAGAAAAAACCCAGTCTATTTAGGATATTTTTCGTCAAAAGAAAAAGATGGAGGTTTTATATTTTATTATGTTCAGGTTTTGTATTGTAATGTTCAGTGTGTTGATGATTACATGTAAACATATGTTTGTAGTGATAAATCGGTAATTTTGTTTGGTTGGAAGTTTTGTGTTTTTACTAAAGTCTTATTTTTTTCAATTCTGATATTAAAATGACAAAGACTTATTTATATTTTTTTAAATTTCAAATGATTTATTAGTTATAGGTAGTTAACCCTCCGAGTGTCCCTAGTTTTGGCCTTAATGTTTGCCTATTTTTTGCGCATTTGCAAGGTTTTATTAAAACGGATCTGAGAAGCTTAAAAACAATGTTAATTATACTGTTCTATATACCATTTTGGTTGGAAAATCATGGGCTTCAATATTATACATAAAACATAAGGAACATTTGTTTCAAAAAATTTGTTTAGGTAAAAAAAAATATTTTGGAAAATTTTCAAAAAAAAAATAAGTTTGCGCTCAATGAAATTGTATAAATTATAGGCCTATAAATATTTGAAAATAGCCACTTTGTTCTAAATTTTATGAGGATTACAAATATATAATAATATAAGGAAGTAGATTTGCAAATAAATAAGGCAAAACCAGATTTCAGTACATATCGTTTAGCTAAAAATGCATAGCCTAACTATAGCTAGGAATCTGGCTGATAATTTACATCAATATCACTACCTACTTCTTCAGGATCATCAACCAGCCCTTCAAAATCACTTAAATCTTCTTATAATGCACCACGTATATCACTACTTTTGATTTTTAACACTAAAACAATGATAAACGTAATAAAACACATCAGTCATCGGTCCGAGGTTAACTAAGCTGTTTACAAATACGCATGTCAGCTGTCTGCTACAATATTTTCGGAACTAAAATGAATAGCGCTTAGAGACAGACCTCCAGAGAAAGCTCTGAATCTGTAAAATAAAACGATACCTAACTCTATCCAGTTCAATCCGATTTTGTCAGTCATAGAGCCTTCGCCGTAAACAGTGTTTGTGAGTCGAAAAATCAACACAAAACACTACACAAAGTGTGTTATGTGTCAATTTTTCGACACATAACACTCGGAGGGTTAATTGCCCAGCAGTAATAGGTATTTAAACTACTTTATTCTATTACCACAAGTTATTCAGAGATTTAAAATATGAAATCATGTGTCACCTGTTCACAGGAGCATGGCTCGTAGTGAGGTTGACATCAGCTACGTTACGTCTCGGCTGGCCGTGATGCCGTACCCAGCGGAGGGTTTGGACATGACGACACGCAGTAACTACGCGGAGGACGTCAAAATGTACTTGGAGACTGGACATCCGGGGGCGCACTACTGTGTGTACAACGTCTCTGGCAGATCCTACCCCGCTGGGCGACTGGGCAAGGGGAGAGTAAGTAAAACAAAGATGTACGAGATTGAGCGATTGTACATTTAATTTTTGTAACCTAAAGCCTATTTTAGACTATATTAAATCTAATTAGACCATTTAAATAACTTTTACTGTTTTACCAGCTAGCGCTAGTTTAGTTCCAATCACTTAATGTAAACTGTTGAAAAGTTGCTGAAATTTGTAATCGGTGTTGAGATGGTTATAAAAAGTTGATTTTGTGAAGCTCGTCTATAAGAATAAGAATAAGAATAAGAATCGTTTATTGCCGTTAAACATGTACATGCAATGGGCAAAGTCACATTTTTACAATATCTTAGCCTACTTAAAAATAAACAGATGTATAGGCCTAGACCTTAACACAGAATGGTAACATTGAATCGTTGAAAGTCATTTTCAAGAACTCGTTAACACTATACATGGGGTTTTCCACTAACCAATCTGACAAAACTCTCTCAAATTTACTATTACTAACTTCTTTTGCGCTATGAGGCAGTTTGTTAAACAAATTAATACTAAGAACATTGAAAGACTTGAGGGTTTTACTTAACCTACAATGTTGCCTATAAATATGATGACTAGATCTTGTGAAATGGTTGTGGATTTGGTTTGACAAAGTGAGGTTATCTAAATTCTTCTTAACATAACATAAACACACAAAAATATATACATTTATCACAGTTAAAATCTTGGCTTGTTTGAACAAGGGCCTACAGTGCTCATCAGGGTCTACATTAAATAAAATCCTCACAGCCTTTTTCTGGATCACTAAAACTTCACTTATTTTTGAACTATTGCCCCAGTACAAAATAGCATAGAGCAAAACACTATGAAAAAAAGCAAAATAACAAGATCTTAAGTAATGACTAGGTAGGCTAAATCTAAGGCGACGCAACATGTGAACAACTTTGGACAGCTTTGAACAAACCTTAGTAACATGAGTATCCCAAACTAACTTAGGATCAAGATGGACACCTAAAAGTTTAACGCTACTGTCATCATCTGCCTCTTTCGGTGCTCTTACGTCTAGAGAGAAAGTTATATTCTGTGTCTTATTCAAGTTAAGGAGAAATTTGTTAGCTGCATACCATTCAGCTGCCAATAAAGCCATATATATAAAGCCAAAAGTACCCATGAACTTTTGAGAAAACTATAAGTCACACCCCCATAAACCATATACTTAAAATGTTCGTCATGATGAGAAACCTTGTTCAAAACTATCCATTATTTCTTAAATTGCCATATAAGGTCGTAATTGCTTTCCAAAGGGAACTTTCCATATACTTAATGTTAAAAACACCTCAGTAGTATTTATTTGTATGTTATTCTTTCAATTTATTACCGTATTAAAATCAGGTGAGATTATTTGTCTGGATTACTGTATTCTGTTTTGTTTATTTTCAGCTTAACCTAACCAATCAATAGTTTTAATATAATAATACTTATGAAGTCAAACGGGGTGAAGCCCGTGGGTAACAACTAGTAGCAATTAATTGTAGAAGATATTCTTTGTTCCTGCAAATATGATTGAGTTTTCATGTGCAATTCCACACATTTTAATCGTCTTTTTTTATTATTTATCAATCATCTTTTATTTTATAGTGTCTTTTTTTAACGAGCGTCAATAAGAGGATTTTAAAAGAACCCGTAGTTTGCCTTCCTTGACTTGACTATGTATAAAAAGTATGAGGTCTCAGTTATTTACTACATTTTCCTCATACTGCATCATTCCGTTAGCTCACTAATCTACAAAACGAACATTATGTACATTTTGGTTTTGTAGGTGGTAGATTGTGGCTGGGGAGGAGTATTGCGTAGAGCTCCTCCACTTCACTCACTCTACACCCTGTGTCAGGACATGTACGAGTTTCTGACTCTAGACCCTCGTAACGTTTGCGTTGTTCACTGTATGGTAAGTTTCCTAACCTAACTCTGGATCTTACTCTTTAGTCTATTTTAAACGTCAACTTTATTACATCAGTTCTCAAAAAATCGGGTTGGTCCATCTGTTGATTGTAGCAAAATAATGTGTTTAGTTCAGGTATTATTTTAGCTAGTTTCCCTTAAAACTGAACTAGAACTGCAAAATTAGTTAGGAATAGTGCCGTAATTTTATGCTGGCTTTAAAGCATTTTAAAACCTTGAATCCCGATGTATTTAGATTAGTTGACCATGATCGCATGTGGGTCTCATAGTAATCCTCATCATCATTCAAGTAATTTAAAAAATATACAAGCTGCAGAAATCAGAATTTTTTATAAACAAATTTGTTAGTTTTTTTTTGGTTGGACTTAAAACCATAAGCTTGAAAGTCTTTTTTTTTATTTTTTTAACTGTGTTCAACATCTTTTACAGAAAGGTACTCAACCAGTTGCATATAAATTCCACATAATTGTTCAACCTCACCCACAGAAAAGTACCCAATCACTTACAAACCAGATATTTGTTCAACCTCACCCAAAGAAACGTACATTTTTACAAATTTCTCCCTCTAAAACACTTGACAAAATTCAAAACAATCCTTATCAAAGGATTATTTAGTTTTTTCCCCATTGTAAACGGAGTAATGTTCTTTGATTATCAAATAAACCAGCCAGTTACAATATTAACTTACGCTAATAGCTGAGAAGCTAATTGATTATATAGTGCTTGTACTGATCATAAGTTTGCTTGTTCCCTCCCTAGAAAAGAAGGTTTGATGTATGAAATTGGATCCAACTGTTCTTGATCATTGAACTTTTAATAAATGATTGTGGTTAAAGATACAGCTGAACATAGTCAGTAACAAAGCTATGATCTCATCCTGTCTAATCTATCCTCTAATCTACAGGATGGCAAGGCAAGTTCGGCAATGCTGGTGAGTGCCTTCCTTCTGTTTGTGGGGTTTGTCAAGAGTCCTGAAGACGCTCTACAACTGTTTGCAGTACGTAGATGCCCTCCAGGACTTCAACCTTCTGAAATGAGGTTTGTATTTTTCTCTAACAAGTAAAATTTATAAACATCATCCTTTGCGGGTTATTCCCGGGTCTTATTTATCCTCTACCCCTATCTTCTCTATTCTTCTCTTCATCTCAATTCACTTTTTGAAGGTATCTACTTCAACTCTTTTTACCACAAAATTATTTTTTCTTTCGTGTAACGTCAAAGGACTTTGATCAACTTTGAAATTCTTGGTATATACCCTGTTTCGAAAGTATTGGCAAAGCTAATAGTAAAATCTTGGAAAACTGTAAATTAGGGGTGTGCTAGTAGTGATTTTTGGGTTTGAGTTGTACTTCATATAATTTTGAACATTTAAAATATTAACCAGCTAATATTTACGATCCACAAAAAAAATCCATTATAGACTAGGAATTATACTAAGGTTATCATTGTTTAACGTAATCAATAGTTATTCACTGTAGGCCTATTATCTTAAATATTCAATGTTATGAGTAACTGTATCGTATTGCAGTAGCAAATAAACTTGCAAAGTTATTTTGATAATGATACGATACAATAAGTTAAGGAATCGTACTTATATATAGGTATAGGATTGTAATTTTTTGGAAACATACTGACTGATGATTATAATACCATGATATTTTGGGAACTCAGGTTCAAGAATGAAATTAAACAACAAAACACATATGATTTCTGTCATTGGGGGTTTATTTCTAGATTTATTATTTTTGTATATTAAAATTCAATCATTGATATTGAGTAAGGCTTTAATGTTTGTTAAACTATTAGAACAGAACTTTTGATTATTTCCACCTCCACTGAAAATACTTATAATTGTAACAATGTACATATTTTTGCTCAGGTATCTTCACTACCTAGCGGACGTTCTCAAGTCTCCTCCATACTCGCCTCACTTCCAGCCCATGAAGCTGGTGTCCATCACCATGCAGCCAGTCCCTCTCTTCAACAAAGTCAGGTGAGCGTAAAGTTTTATTTTACTTAAAATAAAAACTACATGGAAAATTAACAATGAAAATCAAATATTGTGACAACTTACCATAATGATATACAGTATAAACATATGTTGGACTCCTTGATCTTTTGATCTATAAATCCCATTCATTTCAATACAAAAGGAGGTTAAACTTTTTCTTGTTTTGATTTAGATAGTATCTGTTGTACACATTTTTTCATGCCACAAATACATAATAAATGTACTTAATTTATGGATGATATTGCAGGGACGGTTGTCGGCCATTTGTGGAGGTGTACCAGGGAGAGGAGAGGGTAATGACCACCCAGCAGGAATACGAGCGGATGACGTTGTTCAACATCACTAACGGAAAGGTACTCAATCACTTACATACCACATAATTGTTCAACGTCACCTGTACAGAAAGGCACCCAACCACTTACAAACACCAAATAACATTACTCAATACTCAACATAACTCGTTACTTTCAACGTTACTCATGGAAAATTCTTTGCACATATGCATTACATAATTGTTTAAATTACTTGTGATAGTTTGGCCTAATTGTTACCCTACAGAAAATTAATCAGAAAAAGGTATTTTTTTACCAAATAATTTTGTACATAATTCATAGCAAGCTACACTTTTATTGTTGTTTATTAACGCTGACATATCTCATCAACATTACTCTAAGAGATCCATCAAATTTCATACATCCGTATTCCATACTATTAAAAAACATAACTTGAGGACTTGGTTTTCCAGTTCATAAATTTAAGGCACTGAACTTGGTTTCATGCCTGATCTTTGCTAAGGTGCCAGGATATAGCTAGTTCTAGACCAACTGCCTATAACATCTCATCAGGATCGCTAATGTTTTTCCTATGAAACTTGTACCAAATAATATTTACTGTTTTTAAATCACAGACCAGTAATCTAGTATGACAAACAATTGAATTGAGGTTTTAATTTTGGGAGAAAATCACTAGCACACTTCTTGTATTCATATATTCTTTTAACTTTTTAACTAGAGTTTTTATCTGGACTGTTAAGTTTGTAACCCAGTTTGATTTGACTACAAATACTATCAGAGGTTGGTAACACTGAGCAGCGTGCTGTGTTCCAGATCACGCTGCCTCTGAATGTGACTGTGGTGGGGGACACAACGGTGGTGGTGTATCACGCCAGGCACGTCCTCGGACGTCCGACAGGCATCAAGATCCTACAGCTACAACTGCACACCGGCTTCATTGCTGGCAACACGCTCACGTTTAACAAGTAATGGCGGTTTTCTTAAGCACAAATTGGTGTTGCACGTATGGGAGTATAGGACCTTCACCTCACCTACAGTAAATTTCGTTAATCTGGTAGTCGAGAATTCGGACTCATGCACTAGCATATTTCCAACAAATGTTTAGATAAAAGACATGCTCGTCATAGCTCGTGGGCAATCGTCGGTTTTGGAGTGTACTGAGATATCATAATAGAAGTTGGAAAATAGCCTGATAACACAGAGAAGAACTCGCTTACATGCCCTTTCAGCTCTAGTGTGTTGTGCCAGAAATATGCTTGTGGCGAGCAAGGAAGAGCCTGAATGGCGAGGACTGTGCAGAAATTCCTATCACACAGGGTCTTCCTCCATCGTAAGCGTTGCAGTGCATGATGGCGAGAAGAATGGTGTTGGACTTTGCCCTAGACACCAAACTAGTGCTAGACACCATTTAAATGTACCATCGAGTGTTTCCTCTGTACCTTAATTATCTTTGCTGATTCCTTGTAACAACAGTCCTTTTGTAGCTTTCTTTACCAGTATTTGTAATATTCTCACTATAGTAGCTATTCTTCAACGTTGCTCAGTAACACAACATTTTTGTTAATGTGGTACTACTGAGGTTCCAAAATGTGTTTGATTAAGGTCTACTTTGTATTGATCCTGTTTCTCAAATTTTGTTCCTACTGTTCTAATGTTGTTTTAACCATTACATGAGTCAGGGCGCTTTTTCTGGTTCTGTTGGCGTTCTAACTATCGGTTTATATTAAATGGATATTCTGAATGTTAAGTAAAAGTGTGATATTCTGAATGTTAAGTAAAAGTGTGATATTCTGAATGTTAAGTAAAAGTGTGATATTCTGAATGTTAAGTAAAAGTGTGATATTCTGAAGGTAACTATTGATTAAGATTTACTTCCATTAGTAAAAGTCTTCAATGTTTACTTCATTTGTGTGTCCTTCTAAGCTAGGCTATTTTTACATTGCTAAAACAAACTAAGGGATAGTCTGAGGTTAATGGATTTTTAGAAGTTTAAGTTTGATAAAGATTTATCCTCGTCACTAAGATCTCTCAATGTTTTCCTTTCTTTTCTTTGGTTTATTTATAGTCTAAACCATTTTATTTGTATCTGTATTTCATTGTTAGATATACAGATTGAATATTTATATTTAATCTGTATACTGTACCAATGCAGTGTCTATTATTTAGTGCCAGTATGTATATTGTCCTAAGGTGAGAATTCAAACTCTTAAAAAAAACCCTTTACTGCTGACTTGCCCAAAAAACTGCAGTTTCAAATCACATCAATCACTTTTAGTCTCCAGCCATGTGACAAAACCGTGACTTGTCATAGAGAGTTTGTATCAATAGTTGTTGAATTTGCAGGACCGAACTGGATGACTTGTCGGAAGGAGAGCACTACCAGGGTGAGAAGTTCTCAGTGGTGTTGTATGTAGATCTGCTGGAGCCCACCGAAGCTTGTGTGACCCCATGGCTCGGACATCTATCTCGCAACTACTCCTGCGACGTTCTCTTCTCATCCACCATGGAGGCGGAGGAGACGAGAGAAAACTTTGGTAGATAAATTTATCCTGGAATACTGAAATAAACATCCAATCTATTTGGGTTTTTATTCAAACGAGGAGAAAATTGTGCATTTTAGGGTTCAAAACTTAATTATATGGGGAAATCAATACCCTTTTACTTTTCAAAGCTCTACTCCATAAAGACTGAATAGTGATTTATCAAACTCAATCAGATTGTACTAAAAAACAGTATTAAAAATCAATTTTCATAAACTGTTTATCAGTCTTTTGTTCACAATCAGACTGTAGTTAAACATTCAACTGAAGGATCGGCTTTTAGATTACAATTTATATTTAAATCTTTATAAAGAATATTGGCCAGAAACACTGGATCTTTTTTTTGAAAGTGAACTCTAGAAATAATTAAAGCAAAGGAGGTGAAATCCATAATGAAATTACCTTTTTCTTAAGCATTCCCAGGTGCGCTGGATCATAAGCTTTAAAATGACACCTCAATCACGAAAATCGGTTGTGTAGTTTAGCTGGAAAAGGGATATAACGAGAAAACCCTCATTGTAAAAGTACATAGAATAAATTATTGACTGCAGTTAAGCCATTCACATAGTGTGCTAATTTTTACAATTGAATTTTCTCTCTTAATTTTTGATACTTTTATAGTTGATGTGAGGTTCAACAAAATTCAAGATTCTTTATTCGTTGCTGTGCAATTAAAAATTATAATAGACTATGTCAACAATGTGACATTAAAGATTGTTAGTTTACCGTAACATTTCTCTTCAATTTACTCTCTAAAGAAGTCTCAGTGTATGTATTGTTTTGTGTTCTTTACTGTGTATACATTAGCCCTTGGACTCTTAATTTTCTTAGGTAAGTTAGATGAACCAAAAATCCACCTTTAATTAGTAAAATGTGAAAATCATTTAGTTAATGTACTCGTCTTGTATTTTCAGTCCCGTCTCCTCCAAAGTCTGGTCCGCCACCAAGACCTGCCCCGCCTCCCCCCCGGCCTGGCCCTCCGCCCAGACCTGTGCCCCCGCCTAGTGGTGCTCGACCTACGGAATACAAAGACACCCCTGAAACACCACCCATGGTAAGTTTCAACCACTTGTTTGGTTTTATTTAAGTTCTTTAAATTACAGTTGTTTAGTTTTCAACAAAATTATATTGTGGATGGGATGCTTTTGGTTGTTCAACATCGCTTTAGTAAAAATCAGATGATTCGAGAAAATTTGCTATGCTTGATTCAACTTCCTTGTCCTGTTAAAAGCTTAGTAGTGATATGAAACTGAACATTCCTAAGTTATATCAAGACTCGAATTGTTAATTATTATTATTACACACAAAAATGTGCATTGGATCAATAATTATTTTATTAGGTCTGTATTTTAACTTTTAATGTTTAGATTGAGATCTTGAGATTGCACAAAGTCTAGAAGTTTATTTATTTATGCAGATCGCTTTAGCGACTTAAGATAAGATATATCCAGTTTGTCTACAGTAAATTCTTGTTATTGTAGAAACTTGTTTGGAAAGTGGAAGCTCATACATGATCCAATTAAATGAGGGAAGAAATGGTCTTAACTAAGTATATAGATGTTGTATATACATACAATCATCATACAATTAAAAGTTAATTTCAGCAATTATAAAGTGAAGCTCAAAGGAAAGTAAACACTAGTGGTGAAACATTAGCCTGAAATTTTCAATCAGAGTCCCAAGCTTTCTCCGAGCCGAGCTTTTACTATCATGAATTTATGTAGGCTAATTACAAATAATAAGTTATTAAGGCCTAGTAAGAATAGAACCTTTTTTTTAAAAAATAGCAATTTAATTTTAAGATGTGGATTAGAATCTTATACTATACACTGGTATTAAAATCTGTGTATCGCCAATTTCCAGAGGAGAGCTGAGGAAAGAGAAAGTTTACTAAACGACTCGGAAGGAGAGGCTGATTTCCTGAATTTGTCAACCTCAGAACCTCGGCAAGAAGATCTGCTGAATATTAATAACTCTAACGGAGGTAGCGGAGGGGGGAGTAGTAACGTAGACCTCCTCGGCTTTGGACAGTTTGTAAGCGCTACTGCACCTACGCCAAGTCAACCTGCTAACCCTCTGGTGTTTGATCCCTTCGAGTCTGATAACAACGTTAGGGTAGGTGCATTCAGGTTTTATTATCATTTTACCTACATCAATGCCGCAGGTATTTTATAGTTATAGTAAACCTGTCAATTGATTAAAATAAAGGATACCAACTACTTTTGCCTTAGTAGTTAGTTTCTTTTCCCTAGATAATTTTCCAATTGATTTAAACTTTTTATCATGGTTTTGTTTAATCTGGGGTTTAGTTTAACATTATTACCGGTATTACCATCCTGACTGCATTTGTGTAAAAACATGCAGTAACTGTTTTTCTGTCTTTGTCAATGGTAACAATATTAATTATGAAGTCTAAACCAAACAGGTGTAAGGTACCAAATTTTAAGGAGGGTAAAAACGTACTACGAATAAATGAACACCAGAACTTACCCGATGTTTAACCACAATAGCCTACTCCTAGGCCTATGTGTTGGCCATAGCTTGGGCTATGGGCCAAAGAACGTAGGCCTATTTTTATTCACAGTGAAGTACACAAACACATCCACAACTACATATTTATTCATAATAGCACTTCGTTTCACATAATAAAGTTAAACCGGCCGATTTTACAGGTATTTAACGCCGACGACGACAAAACCCCAAACTGGTGTTTATTTGTTGACAGACGACAGACGAAACTAGACCAGCTCAACAAGTGAATTCGATCAGCTGTTATCTAGTAGTACTAAAGTTCGCCACTTGAGCGGGTAAGCCTCGAGCGGGCAGGAACGAAGGATTTTACTCAAAGACATGATTATTGGCTGTTTGACCACCGACTAGCTCGCACAAGTTACGAGTACGACGACACTACGATATTATTACGAAGGTTAGCTACCATACTAGTTAGGCCCCTTTTTACGTTTTACGTTATTTCTGTTTTATCTTACGCATTCTTAACTTATTATACCTTTTCGTTTTCTTAAAATTCCGTTTCGAATTATCTAAATTTAATATCTTAGCTTGAGTCTTGACCCGCCAGTTCCTGCCTGCCAGTGACTAGCGGTGGCTATCGTTTATTTAATTTTAATTAGTTTCGAAATTACGATGTCTCCGTTCGCTTAACAAATAATTATCACGTCTAAATTATATCTCGTTTTCACCGTTATAATACCCCGAGACTTGTCGTCTAAGTTCTAAACCCCATCTTTGGCGGGTGAAAGAATCAAGTCTTGAGAGCAGCTGATTTGAACAATCAAACAGCTACGAATATTAATATTAAATCTATTTTAAATCATCCCATGATAAATTCTCCATTCGATTATATTAATTAGGCCCGACGACTCTGTAGGAATTGTTTTTTACATTAGATTCGATTTTATTATCTACCACTGTCTTTAGCCAGATAGTTCACAGTTTATTACGAGTATTTAAATCACATTGGTTTAAGATTGAATACTCGTCGGCCCTACAGAGTCATTCTAAAAGTTAGGCAAAATTCTCCAAAACACTTTTACGAAGGCTGGGATGATACTCCAACTGGGCGTCTGCAGGATTTCCCGAGCGCTTCTAGAGCTCTGAGCCTTCGATTAAATTTAAATAAATTGATCAGTCAAAGCCGTGACAACTTCGTATCGACCCCTGGATTTTTCTCGGCTCCTTCTGAGCACTCCGGGGAAGAAATTTGAGTGTGGCTGGTTCTAGGGGTAGGCCTAGCCTGACTTAGGTGAATACTAGTTTATTACCCCCCTAGAATTTTGCGTCACACAGGTCTATACAAGAGCAAGTCATACTGTTGACCAAACTAACGTTAAATGCTTTCAGGATGATCTGCTAGACCCGACACTAAAGAACGCCAACATCCATCGGAACGTCAGTACGCCCAACCTGATAGCAGACAACATTGTGTTAACTCCGTCCCCTTCACCCAACCCCACGCCTAACCTGCTGGGAGGAGCGTGGCCTCCTGGGTCTGGGGGACCCACCATGCCTCGCAACGTCAGCACGCCCAACCTTAACCGGGATCCGTTTGCTGATCTAGGTTAGTTTAAACTTAAAACCTTTTCACACAATTACATCCACATTTTGGTTTGGTGGATGTTAATAACGTCAACAGTTATTAAGGGTCGTTTAAAAGCCTATTATCATCAAAGCTGTTTTCTGTCAACACAAAACTAAAAATTAACAAAACTGTGATTCGTCCAATTCTGCTTTATGGTTCTGAAACATGGACTCTGGACAAAAGTACTGAAAAAAAAAAAAACTCGTCACCTTTGAAAATAAAGTACTAAGAAAGGTTTTTGGACCAACAAGAGAAAATGGTGAATGGAGGATCAAACATAACAGAGAAATTAGAGACCTGTATAAAGCACCAGATGCTGTGGCGGAAGCAAAAAGTCGACGAATAAGATGGCTCGGGCATGTGTTAAGGAGAGAAGATGATGGATTGATACAGAAAGTTTGGAAAGAGAACCCGGTTGGAAGAAGACCTCCTGGGCGTCCCAAAATGAGATGGAAAGATGAAAAGTGACCAAAGATATGAGAAAGATAAGAATCATGGAGGAAGATGCTGAAGATCGAAAGAAATGGAGGCATTCATTTGGCGAGGCCAAATACCACCTTGGGTATCGATGGCCATGGGAGTAAGTAAGAGTAAGTTAAAAGCCTGAGAGTTAATTTTTTGGGATAAATACCTTGATGAATACATTAAGGAAGAAGGAATGACACACGACTAACTTACCAAAGAAAAGAGTTACTGGAAGTTGACAGCAACTCAGCACAATTAATTTGACACATTTTCAACCCTACAAGGGAGCATATTCAGAGGAAGTAATTGGAATAAATCATCAACAATTTTTCCCCTCACAAAAAGAGAGAAAACATCAATTATTAAGAATACTATAAAATAAATCAATTAATAATCACTATAGGATTATCAAATTGTTAAACTTGATCAATTGAGTAAATTCTATTCTGAGGTTTAAATGTGAGGTTGCATAAACTTTGGTTGAATCAATAATGCAAAACTGGTCAACACCTTTGTCCACGATCTGTAATCCTATCAGAGTTAAATTAGATCAGCTCCAATAAGGTTTACTGTACTTCAGCAGCCTACCGTGTTTGTAAGCATTTATTTCTGTTTTCTTTGTATTTTAGAGCTTTTAATATTTCAACTGTAGTTTTTAAATAGTTTTATTCAGTAAATTCAAAATAAGCTCTTTGAACCATGCAGTCTTTATTAAATTAAATGTTAAACATTTTAGTTTTTTGTGTTACAAACAGGCTTTAAAACAAGCCCTATCGGCATACATCCAATTTTTTCATATGCTATTTTTGGCAGTTAGTGTTCAAAATTAAAAGTATGGAATCATCGTAGGTAATTAATTTAGAATAGTGACTTGTGTAATTATTTTATTTTGTACTTGTACAGTATGAAATCCTCCTACTTAGACCTATTTAGCAACAAAGTTGTTCATACAAATTGTGGTCATTTGATAATTTTAAAAATAGTAAAAAGTCTTAGTTATTAAAAAAAGTCATAAAATTGAAATGGTGATACAATTACTGACTAACACTCTTTAAAGGGCATTGTATCCTAAACACACTACAACATTGTACAACATTTTAAACACGTTAATCACATATACAACAGAATCAATAATCAGTGACAAGAGATGTGCGTTTTTTGCTTGCCTAGTGGTTAGCTTCTTGGACTTTGGTACAGGAGAGACGAATTTGATTGGACCTCTTTCCCTAAAAGCGCTTCTAAACTTCAATAACGCTTCTGATAAATGCCTCTGGCATGGACAACAATAAAAAAAGAATAAAAAAGACCCTAACTTGATCTGTTCAAGCTTACAAGTTGTTTATTTATTTTGTTAAGTTATTTCTTGTTTGATTTATGTGGCTTTTAAAATAACTTAAACCAGTAAACATGATGTCGTTGGTGAAGTAGATATGTACAATGTTATATATTTACGTTTGTTTGTGAAGCAGGTAACTTGAGCTCCAGTCTCGGTGGAACTACCCCTGGACTGTCTCCGCAGCACAAGCCCACCTCCAGTTGGAACCCAACCCCCTACCCTCCCAGTACACCAGTCTACACCCCTGCTGGTACGTCAACAATCAGTCAATGTTTTGTGGGAGAGCAGTATGGGTAATCATGGTGTTTTATTGTAAAAGAATCAAGTTCAGTCAGATTTATTGATGAAATTAAATACATTAAGGCTCACGTAACATACGTCCGATTTTCAGAATAAATGTTGTCAGCTAATACCATTAGGAACAACCTAATACTATGGTAAACATTTTCTAAAATTTAAAACATAATGTAATGTGGGCCACATTTTCAAGTACACACAGTGTGACAAAAATACATTGAAAAACAACTGGTAATAATAATTAAAAACTTAATCTAATTCTTAATTGAAGTTCACCGTTTATTGTTTTTTTTTTTCTGTACTATTGTCTGTTTCTTGGAGACTTGGAAAGGTTTTTGGGAAAGATAGGTTAACACGTGCGGGAGGGTAGTTCCCCCTCCCCGGGCTCATGCGGAACAGCGCACTTCTAGTCTACCGCAGCAAATAAATGTGTTGGGAAGTATCTTAGGGAAGATATTTTAATTTTAAACACAAGATCTATTCAAGTGGTCTTATCTTTTACAGATCAACAGATGTAACCTGGCACATGGATTTTAGGTAGAAATCGTGTACTCTCATGTACAAATCGTACAAATTTGAGTCTATATAATTTCTGCATCGACAGTAGGCAGCAGCGGCCCGAGCCAATGTTCTTAGGATAGGAATGGTTAGGGTTTTCCGCCCCCTCCCCGGCTGGACTCGCCAGTCCCATGTGCCAGGTTACATTTGTTGATCTGTACTTTGTAGTTAAATCACAATTTTGTTACAGGCAGTCCAGTGCATCATTCTAGGTCTCCTTGTGAGCCGAATTACAGCAGATCTCATTTTGACAACGCCTTCAAACCTGCTGAGCCTTCAGGTATGTAAAAAATAAAAAATAATTTATAAGTCATAGCATTCTCACTCTCTGTGTGATCAAAACAAGAAAATACTGACTAAATTATTTCTGAACAGTTCAACTAATGAAACAGCCTGTAATAAAGCAACGGCAACTTTTGTGATTATTACTTTTGTTACCTTTACCTCCTTTAAATGAACTTTTCAACGGTAACGTTTATTTAAATGTACGATGGTTTGATATTTTGACAACTTCTATGTCGAAATATTGAACCAATGTACATTACAAAATAATGTTTGGACCAGTCTAATTTCATGAACAAATATGACAACAAACATGACATGGTATATCATAATTTTTTATGAATGCACCAGAATATTTTTTTAAATTACAAATACGTTTTAGAAAAACACTTTTCATCCACTCTTTGTAAGCAATCTTGATGCTTGATCTTTTATCTCTGTTTGGTTTGACGTGTCATTATTTTTGTGGTTCTTAACCTTTAAAATATTCACAGGGAAGAAAGCTGGAGACGTTTTTGGAGACCTTCTAGGAAGTCAGGGTTATGAGTTCTCTTCCAAAAAAGACAGCGGGCCCAGAACTATAAATGAAATGAGAAAAACTGAACTAGCCAAAGAAATGGACCCTGAAAAGTTGAAGGTGAGGAGTTAACTTGGTACTACCTATATTCTTTGTTTTTATAACATTTTAAACCTAATAGCTCTGTGGGTTGCGTTGATAGTGGCTCACCTGGTAATGAGAAGGTTGACGGTTCAATCCTGAGAAAAGTCAATAGCTTTTTGATGATTTGAAACTGGAACCAGCTGTCCTTGACCATAGAGCTATTAATGCTTGTTACTGGATATAAAATCAGCTGATTGTACTGGATATAGAATCAGCTGATTGTACTGGATATAGAATCAGCTGATTGTACTGGATATAGAATCAGCTGATTGTACTGGATATAGAATCAGCTGATCTTAGTCGGCAACAAAGTAGTCAATCATTTAATGGGAAGTTGATATTAGGCTCTAGCACTCTAGGCATACCACAACACATAAAAGGAGTATGTCTCTTAGGTTTTAATTCTTTTTTAGAGAGAGAAAATTCAGTTCACTAACATGATTGATTGCATACTAGGCCAAAATATGAATGCTTTGTTGTAATATTTCAATGTTTTTCAGGTCATGGAGTGGACGGAAGGAAAGACTCGTAACATCCGAGCATTGTTGTGCTCCATGGACCGAGTGTTGTGGCCAGACTGCAAGTTCAGAATCGAGATGGCACATTTAGTCACTCCCGCAGACGTCAAGAAGGCTTACCGCAAAGCGTGTATTGCCGTTCATCCGGACAAGGTATGTTATTAAAGTATTAATGTGTGTGTACAGCTTGTGCATGTTTATAGAAGTATGTTTAAAAACATTTCATAAACTGAACGAATGGTGAGGTTTTACCTGCTGTGCGAAAGATATAGCTCATCAGATCGATTCTCCTCACTTGAAAAATGTGCTCAACAAATTCAGCCGGACTGCTCCTGCACACTAGCCTCTTTTGCTAATGCACATTTTTTTATTGGTTTTTCACTCACGCAATTGACTGTACTGTACATTTGTAACTATATAATTCAATTTAGAAGCAACACCTTTAGGAACATTTAAAGTCTAGGTGTATGTTTCTTATCTACTAATTTACTTGGTAGTAAAATTTATTTTTAAACCACCAGCAATATTTAATTAGACAACACCAACTGTTAAGTACCGTATTGTTGTTTTACTTCCTTAGTTTTTTATTTGTTATAAGCCTGTGTCAGAGGAAGGAGGGCAATTTAATCAAATTAGTGTTTACTGTAAACATAAAATGTATTAATTTCTTGTTTTCAAATATTATTCATAAAATTACATATCCAATAAAAGGTTTCAAACTACCAGTAGAATAATTAATTCTCATTTTTTTTTCAGCACATAGGAACGCCCAATGAGCAAATTGCTAAGCTAATTTTCATGGAGTTGAACAATGCGTGGAGCGAATTTGAGAACGATGCGAGTCAGCAAAACATGTTCCAGTAGTCGGACCATGGGCGTTAACTCTGTACATGGGTGCAAAACTAGACAATAGCTACTTAGATGTACTATAACCAATCTAGTTGTCTGTCCACTTTCTCAACTCCAATGTACACTACTTACACTCTATTACGTTTACTTGGATCGTGGAAACAATCGTCGCGATCCTCACTTAAACAGCTTTGCCAACAGTTGCTTTAATTATTGTAAGTTAACCTATTAGCTACCTGCTCAAAAGTATATTTTATCATGTTTTGATGTTAGAATTATTTTTATATGACTGTTTTCATAGATTATTAAGGTTAGCGATATTTTTGTGATCCTATAGGGTGTTGACTTACGAATTATGTTCTTAACGCAATAGTCGATGATATTAATTTTGTAGGTTAAGTTATTTTTTATGTTTAATCTGTGTGGAATTCCCTTTCAAGTTTATTGTAATTGTTTATTCCTGACATTCCTTTTATAAACGTTTATTTTTTTATGTGGGGATTTAATATTTTAGTGAGTATGTAATTTTGTTTTGTTTTAGAAGAAGATAGAATGTGTTACCAAGATTAAATTTATCTTAAAAATTTACCCTTGTAATAAATGTGAAAACTGTGTGTTATCTATAACCAACTGACAACTATATCTTCATTCTTTCTTATCATATATTTTTAGCGATTCCTTACTTAATTATTTACTAAATTATTTAATGTTTAATTTAGCAATTAGTTATATTCAAAGAAATTCCATTATATTAATTGTTTTTAATCTCTCGTCTTATGCAAAACCATTGCATCGATCTCTTGGCCCATCAAGAAGTAGTGTTTCACATCGCCTTGTGTTAGTTGTTTATAATATTTGTAAATAGTTTAATGTAAATATTTGTACCTGTATTATTTTTATTGGAAGTTAGGATTTAGTTGAAATCCAGGAGCCCTCAGATTGTTTTGCCTTGTTGTAATATTCTGTGGTGTTTCTGTTCCTAATAATGTATAGTATTACATTGCATTTGGTTCTCTCTGAAGATGACTCAAATTAATGTAAAATATTTATCACCAGTTTGAAATTGGGCATTATATTCTACTTGATATTAGCATAGACAAATAGAATAAATATAGACCGTCAGCTGTGCTGGGGTTAGCATAAGTTCTGGTATCCACCGCTAGGATTGCCGTGTGGTTATGGCGCACACCGCTCCAGCGTCTGCTGGTAGTATATGGCGAGCAGCGAATCGAACACCATGGCACATCGCGAACAGTGGCACATTGCGGAACCTTCCTTAGACAGTCTATATTAAATTCTATTTGTCTAGATGATATTAGTGATGTGTCAACCGATAATTGAGACCATCGAAACTTTAGAAAAAGTCGAAAACAGATCTTTTGATCGGAAGTCTAAACAGATTTTAATCCAAAAGTACAATGAAAATGATTCTTATTCTTGTAAAACATCAAAAGTCTTGCTAACGCTGGCACACAGTTTTACACCGGAACATTATTTGATATTAACTGTTGTTTGTTGATCCTATTGCTATAAAAATTTGGTAGCATTATACCAATCATGAGAACAATTATCTAGTATGCTGCACAATTTGTTTACAATGCTGGGATTTCCGTAGTTTGACAATACTTGTATTTGTGCGTGATTTATTGAAGGTATGAATAAAATAGTTAAACTAAACCACACTACAAGCTATTTAAGGTTAAAAATATAGTTACCTATAGAACTGTGTGATACACATTTTACTTACCATTTCTTATGTTGTATACATAACGTTTATTGTAATCCTTAAATTTATCACTTAATTATTTTTTAGATACAATGATTTTGTTCTGTATTTCTTATTATAATTGCAATATAAATATTTTGTATAGAATACTACTTTATTTTATATAGAGAAGTGGTGAATTATTTTTATTTTACAAATTTGTATCATAAAATATAAAATGTATTGGTGCAATATTATGAAAACAGTGTTACCCTGTATCATTGGCTCAGTGAAAAAAAATGTTCCCATACTTCTTAGGAATACACACCAAATAAATATTTAAATGTATCTTAATGTAAAGTAATATTACCTTAATTATGTGTATAAATAATTTATACGAAACATTACAAACAACTTTTGACTACATTATTATGCACTAAGGAACCAAACCTTTATTTGAACAAAACAAATCAGAAGCTATAACAAATGGATACGTCTAAGTGTTGAAATTATTTAACTATATTTAACAATAAAGGAGTACAGCAGTAACATGTCATACATTCGGAACAATGTTATAGAAAACAGGCTGTGACATGTTTCAAAGCGGCTGCATGTGTCACACAGTTGGCCATCTGAACCATGTAAATTCTAGCCTAAAGTATCTGAATGATTCAAGTTTCGCTGCGCTGCATTTCCCTCATCTTACACAATATACGTTTTTGTTTATCGCTCGACCATTAATCTGTTCCGAGAGATTAATTATGCCTTAATGGCAGTGTTGAGTGAAAAGTCTTACTGACAATATATTACTCTAAATTATTACTATCTGCGATTTTCCTAACGATTAAAAATAAGTTGAATTATGAGTTATTATTGTGTATGTTTACTTTTTTGTTAACATTATGTTGTTTGTACTTTCAATATATATTTTTGTTTACGTGAAACTGCCTTGAGTTTAAAGAAAAACATTTTGATTGTGTCTATAATCATATTATGATTGAACAACACTTTTGGAATAGATACATTTTTATTGAGGTTATATGTTTCCCTACCTTGTAAAGAAATGTATGAAATAAATATTATACTGTTACTGTTACTTGTCTCTTTTTCCTCCTGAGATTTTTGTCCAGCTATTCTAAGGGTACTAGTGCACCTGTTGCTCGAATTCGAGCAATTGCAAAGAATTACATGCGTTATTTCAAAACAAATAACAATCATAATTTCCGATGACTTAAAAAGAGTTCACTTAAGAAAATGTGTAATCAATCACTCCACTACAGATATCAAAACTGAAAACGAACTCTCTTGTGTGTATCATGTGTTTACTATGAACACTAAGAAAAATTATTCGTCTGGTTAAGTAAACAAAATATTATCTTCTAAGAAATACATTGGGATTTTGATGGCCTGTGGGGCAAAGCCCGAGGACTTTTAATACATGAATTGGTGAAAGGAGGCGTCTACACAAAAAATACTTAATTTTGACACATCGTTTGTAAAAATCCGTCCATTATTAACGGAGGAGTAGTGTTTCGTAGAAATCGCCTTCACGTAGGCTATTAAGGATTCCATAAAAATCTTGGTTTACAGTGGCTAATAATAGGTTCAAAAGGTCAATAACAGATGGTCCTGTTTCTTGATGCATTGCACAATGTCCAAAATATAATTTTTGAGCTGTTTCCGATGTCTTGTAGAATAGGTATACAATATTTGACTGCACGTCCAAATCTCACCATGTCTAAAAGTACAGTAACTGCAAAAAACTTAAGTCTTTCTACAAGCTCTGGACGTCATGAGATTTGTCATTGTGAAACAGCGCACTTTATACTCTAAAAAAAGTATCATTTCCACCACGTCCAAAGCCGCTGCTAGTTGCAGTCCAAGTGCCAAATTCAATGATATAAGTCAGTGTTACGACGTCCAAAATATAATTTTTGAACTGTTTCACGTCCAATATCAAATATTTCACAGTTGCACCACGTCCAATGATAAAAGTCAGTGTCATAACGTCCAATATAAAATATTTGACTGTTGTACGAAGTCCAGAGGATCGGGATTGATTGTGACAAGGGGGGGGGGTCGGGTTCACCTGCAGCAACAAGGGATTGGAGACCAAAAAAGGGGGATACTATCTTCCGGAAAAGATTTTAGAGCTATGATAAAAAGAAGTGCCTTTTAAGGTTACTATGCATATGCAGGGTGTTTCAAAACTCTCCTTACTAATATTATTTTTTCACCTTGATTTTGTAATAACTATATGTAGGCTATTTGAATTTTAAATCTATGATCCACTGTAAAATATTCTTCAATAAACAAACAAAAGTTAAACATGCACCAGCCCCACCCTTGTGAGGGCCATCATCAGGACATTCATAATATAAGGTCCAGTTTTTGAATTTGTTTACTTCCAGGCAGTTTTTATCTGGTGCGAACTCAAGTTTTGTAGGATACAAAGTTTAATTTACTATCTAAAAGGGCTGTAACAAAAATTATAAACAAATTTATTCAAAGACAGTTTTAACAATTGCAGTTTTAACTATTGCAATCCGAATAAACGGTATCAGCAATCTGACACATACTTTCTCCCATTTATGATATTTAATAGGTAAAATCTCAAAAGTTGCATTAGCTTTTGAACAGTAAATCTTAACAGGAATGAAGGGATGCACTATTTTGTTTAAGGACCATAACAGAAGAATTTCAATCAGAATCAGTTTTTCTACAAAAAATCCATTCTCCATTTTTTAAATAGGTTTTTATCGGAAAATAACATAAGTTATAATAACTTTTGAACCATAATTTTTATAGAAATGGGGGATTGCACTATGTTGTTTGCAATTATAAGTATTACCACATACTAATTTCAATCTAAACCGGTTCCTTTTGAAAATACGATTTTCTCTTATTTTATATGTGTTTTTATGGGAAAATAACATAATTCGCAATAACTTTTTAACCGTAATTTTTACAGATAAATAAATGTGATTTGTACCATTTTGTTCAGAATTTAAAGGGCTACAACATACAAAATTTTCATCAAAATCGTTTGGGTACAGTGTCTTACTGAGCTACCCTAATATAGTTTTTTTTTTTTTTTTTTTTTAAATATCGTTTAAAAAACTTAATGTAAGTTAGAATACTAGTTATTTTACTATGGGGATTCATTTCCCAAAGTCCTATTAAACGTTTTTTATGGACACCCTGTATAACTTCGTAATTTACGGAACTGCCTCAATCATAATCATACTGATTATACTGCAAGCTATATATTACCATTAAAATAGCTCAAAGTTTATGTGATGGGCTTGGGAAAAAGATTGTGCACTTTTTCCTGACGCGAATTCCTATCAACCATATAGATTTTGCCTCGTAGCTTCGTAATTTTTGGGACTGCCTCGATCATATTTGTACTGATTATTCTACACATTGTATATAAACATTTGACTAGCTCAAAGTTGATGTGATCGGCTTAGGAAAAAGATGATGCACTTTTTATGTTTAGGAGTTTTGAACGCGTTTTGTTAAGCCATAGCTACGTATAATGTACAATACTGCCTCAAATACGCCTATACAATACATGAAGTAATTAGTTTAGCTCGTCTATACACGTTTTATCATGGGATTATTGACATTATATACATGTAAAAACATCATTTCGCACCGTATTGTCATTGAATTGCATTTCCGACATCCCAGCACAACACGTTTGTGGCGTCCGCAGGCGTACCAAGCCATATCAGATATAAACAGGCTTGGTAAAAAGATTGTGATGGGCTTTGGAAAAAGATTGTGCACTTTTTCCTGACGCGTTCCCATCAACCATATAGATTCGGCCTTATAGCTTCATTTACGGGACTGCCTCAATCATATTTATACTGAGTATTCTACACATTGTATACTACCATTAGAATAGCTCGAAGTTGATGTGGTCAGCTTAGGAAAGAGATTGTGCACTTTTTCCTGACGCGTTCCTATCAACCATATAGATTCGGCCTTATAGCTTCATAATTTACGGGACTGCCTCAATCATACTCATACTGATTATTCTGCACGCTGTATATTACCATTTTAATATTTTAAAGTTTATGTGATGGGCTTGGGAAAAAGATTGTGCACTTTTTCCTGACGCGTTCCTATCAACCATATAGGTTTGGCCTTTATAGCTTCATAATTTATGGGACTGCCTCAATCATATTTATACTGAGTATTCTAGACATTGTATATTACCATTAGAATAGCTCGAAGTTGATGTGATGGGCCTAGGAAAAAGATTATGCACTTTTTTATGTTAGGAGTTTTAATTGATCGCGTTTTGTTAAGCAATAGCTACGTATAATGTACAATACGGCCTCAAATATGCCTATTAAAATTAAAATACATGAATTTATTTAGTTTTAACGTGTATACACGTTTTATCAAGGTATGATTGACATTATATACATGTAAAAACATCATTTCACGACTTATTGTCACTGAATTGCCTTTCCGACATCCCCGCAAAACACTTTTGTGGCGTCCGCAGTCGTACCAACCCACATCTATTACAATTCGAAAAAGCACCGATGAAAAGAGCCGCTAACTTCACGACGGTGGTGGAGTGGACTGGACTAGAGTGGAGACTTCTCCTCTCCACTTTTTGCTGGACTTGCTCATCTCTCAGCTCAGCTCAGGGCTCGACTATCGACTCAGCTGGAGCTCCATCCACTGGACACTGGCACTGGCACACAGTCACAGTGGCACGGCACGTCGCAGTTGAGTTTTTACAGGTTAGAATTTTATTCATTTCCTTTAGCCTAATTACGACAAGATAAGTTGAAGTTGACTATAAGTTACTTCAGGGGTGTAAGTAGGAGTCAGAAGCAGGGTAAGATGGCATAAAAACTCTTTATAACTTAGGCCTTGGCAGGAATGTGAAATTCGTAAGATGTAGCCTAGCCGGTGGGTACAGTGTCTTATTGGGCTACCCTAATATAGTTTTTTTTAAATATCGTTTAAAAAACTTAATGTAAGTTAGAATACTAGTTATTCTTCAAGGCTACAATCACATTTGACGCGTGCAAGTAATTTGGTGGTGCACGTGTGCGCAAGCTTGCCTGACTGAACAACAATGGGCTCTCACTGAATGCAAACAGTTGCAAGTTAATTACTGTATTATAAACAGGTCAGCTTAATGGAGATGACAGACTACGAGTACATTGTATTAGAAAGTGATATGTTGAAGTTTTTATTATTGGATGAAGCAGATATTAGGGACTAAAGTGGGTAAACGAGTATTTTGTGGACAGAGAGGAAGTATCACAAATCTTCAACGACTTGCTAGACAACCTGAGAAATTCTCCAGTAGGCCTACCGGTAAGTAGGTAGCTTACTTCAGATTACCGCCAGCCGCCAGAGACTTTCTATCATTTACCGGACAAAATAACACCTAGGCTACACCAAGCAGGCAACCTAATTTTTTCTAAGAGCATTGATAACCAATTCCTTATCAATAGTAATAGTACAGCACATCACTTCCACTTGGCTCAATGTTTATTTTCAACTGAACTCTGAACTGAGATCCTGCTACTTGTAGGTACCGTACATGCTTGCAACTTTGACTGAGCAAGCGTGCACTTGCTGGTGGCAGAACAGTGTGAGTGTGAGCGGCAACGGACTAAGTCCTCTTATCTCAGTCAGTTTTTGATTCTAGGCGAACGCGAGTGCCATCAAATTACTTCCGCAAGCGTGCGTCCAATGTGATGGTAGCAAATGTTTTCCAACCTAATTTTTAAAAACAAGAGTTTTGCAAGATCAATAAACAAAAAAAAAACTTGCTTTAAAACACTGCATAACTTAGCTAGTGTTAGATAAGTTAAGTCCTAACAGCGCGTAGCACTTAACCCAGTTAAGATAACTCCTCTGTGACTCCCTCGCAGCCATTAATGTCGTTGACACAATTATCTCAGCCAGTCGTTACTAACCACCCTTCAGCCCACTCCCTAGTCTCTACCTACTAAGCATCTTTGTGCAATAAACAGTTTATTAACTAAAACTAGGCCCAGTGTTGGGCTTTCATGTTTAAACAGTTGTTGCTCTCCTCATAGCTTCCTCCTTCCAGTTCAAATCGGCCATTGGAACCACTCAGTCGTACTTTTTGTATAAACTTCAATTTTTGGACACTTTAGAAAAGGTTTTAAAAACAGACTCTATATTTGGATCTAGTGTGCAAAATACTGTAGGTAATAAAAAAGTCTTGCAAGCTACTTCACAGTTAGTTAGATTTCTAAATATCATTCAAAGCTAGTTTGTGTCAATAATTATGTTTCCAAACAAATGTGCTAGGGTAAAATCTAGGCTATTTTCAAAATTATCAATAAGTTAAGTTATTTATACTGTATCCTGTTACTTAATCTTTTGAATAGGTCTAAGTTTTGTAAAAACCGTGTTGTGATTGTTTGCAGGATGTCGCAAGGCCCGGATTCCGCGGCTCAAGCTAGTGGAATGGAAGTGGTTGTGGGGGATGTAGATCCTGATTTTATCACCTTTTTGTTTGATCCTGCAGAGGATTACAACTGCTACTTCGTAGTGGGAAACCCTGAAGTTGGAGACACGGTAAACTTGTTATACAGTTGAAACATCTGATTATAGGTTGAGCCTACTTGGCTTTTGCTGTAAATATTGTTTAAAATAGATCCTAAATAAAATTACATCAAGCCCATTGGTCAAATTTAATCAACTTCATTAACCCTTTGCGGTCAAATGGCGAGTATAGATTGCCGCCCGCCATTTTCCCGCTCAAAAATGGCAATCTGCACAAAAAAATCTAAAATCAAAAAAAGTTTATCTTTGCAGTTGAATGGTGAGTATAAGTCGCAGGGTGCCATTTTTCCAACTGCTCAAATGGTGACCTAATGAGAAAAAAATTTTACCTCAAAAGGGTTGGGCTATTCAGAATCAATACACCCTAAAACAGTAAGCAACCACAAGACATACACAGACAAGGGACACTTTGACAATGTCAGTGCTTTTATCTTTGTAAGCATTTCAGTTATTTGTTTTATCATTACTGTTCTCTTCCATTTCGGAAAAAAATATCTTTTTCCTACAGTCACCCGACAAAGTTGGCTTCCTTGTACTGTTTATAGTACAGAAAGCTGCTAATTGCTGCATATTTATACTTTGCCGTACGGTTTATACTTTGTCGTACGGTTTATACTTTGCCGCACATCAGGATTCCAACGAAACAACACAAAACAGCGTGGTTCTATTATGCACGTAATCCGTGTACGCTTGGAAATAGGTTGGCAACACTTAAAGATAATAATACTATGAGCAGCTGATTGACTATTATAACTACGATTTAACCTGTCATTGTGTATTTATAGTTTCGGTATTTCTGAACTTTCTGGACTTTTCTTTTAAACGTTTTTAAAATATTCCTACGATCTTAATAAACAAGAAAATACCTTTAAAGCATTTTTTTAGGCGCGGAAACCACTTCAAATTACAAAAACATACGGAACTATATTCTCAAAACGCGGAGCACATTTCTTGCCGAGGAAAAATAGCGGAGTGATACGGACCACGGGTACTACTTTCTCTAGGGCACCATTTGTGTTGCCAGCTGAACCTAAAAACGTGTTGTATAGTGCTTGAAAGACTAATTATTTATATGCTTTATAGTGACTGTAGGAAAAATATAATGTGTAACACGACTGAAAAAGGCCTTTGCTGCACTCGAGATCATTCCGCACTCGCCTGCGGCTCGTGCGTAAACATTGCTCTCGTGTGTAGCAAAGTGCCACTTTCACCACTAGTTACACAAATAACTATTTAATATTATTTTTCTAGATAGGCTATTAGTATTAAGTAGTTATTAGTATTAGTATTTTTTGCCAAGTTATTAAATACCTAATATTTTTTTTCTTTTTGTCTTTTCTGCAATTTAATCATTATACTACAGGCTTGATTTATTTTGTTATCCTTTCCAGATGAAAGTTAGTTGTAAGATTTATAGTCCGTCCGTTTGGCTATGATGCCCAGCGGATTAGGGACTTTCTCGGAACTCAACTCACCCTCTCGACCTGCTCGTCGGGCTGGCCGGAGACAAACAGTGACTCACCTGCTGTCACAGTCCCCCTGATCTGTAACTTTTTTTTATTTTTGGTTAAAATAAATTGTTCTTTATAAATTTGAGTTCTACATGAAATTCCAAAAATATTGAGCCCAAACACTATGTGGATACTTAATATCTATGATCTGAAAGTAGTAAAATTACTCTGTATTGTCACCAGCTTTGTCCGACTTTCAGATAGTTGAGATATTAAGTATCCACATCGTGTTTGGACTCATTACTTTTGGAAATTTCATGTAGAACTCAAATATATAATGAAAAATGTATTTGATCTTAAAATAAAAAAGTTACAGATCTGTGGGACTGTGGCAGTAGGTAGGTAAACTTCTTATCAACGGCCAGCCAGGCAAGCAGGTCGGAAGGGTGAGTTGAGTTCCGAGAAGGTTCCTAATCCACTGGGTATCATAGCCAAATGGACGGACTATAGTTGAGACTCCTGCGCCCACAAACAGAAGTTTCTTTTCTTCTCTTAGGTGTGAATATCTCTTTTTATAAAGTTTAAAAAACAAATTGTTTTTATTCATAAAAAGGTGCTGTTGATAAAATAAAATGAACGTTTAATCTTAATATAGATAAGAAAACTTCACAATACAGGAGTTTGCAACAAGTGTAAAGCATTAAAATAAGAATTATTTTTTTTTTAGAGTACCTATTGCATTTGTCACTTAATATTTCAGCTCATTTAGGGTTGCAATGCAATTTGTAATTCTGATAGTTAGGATTGATTTCATCTATTCATTTCCATCTAACTCGGCTGATCTGTATTTTGATGACTCGGTCACTACATGTTTCCTGCAATTCCCCCAATTGAGAGGCAAGTAATCAGGTTTGGTCAAGGAAAACCTTAAACAGTCAGGGAATTGGTTGGTCTACAAAAGTCAGGGAATTATGAAAAAAATTCTGGAATTTCCCCTGAAAGACTTTTGCAGATATGGTACATTTTGCTCTGAACTAATGGTACATTTTGTTTTATCAGGGTGATGACTAATGGCAAAAAGAACAAAATAAGCACTGATGCATATTTTTATATCGATAGTTAGTAATCGGTACGGGGGAGGAATCAATATGTATATAGTCTGAAACAAGTTTTGTATTTGAGAGTGATTAAATAAGTTAAGTATTTCCATTTTTTCTAATATAATATTTCTTGATTATGATTAGTCGATATCAACTTAGGTAAACCTGGGAAAAGTATAATATAAGTCTGGAAAACCTGGGAAAGTCAGGGAATTTTATTTTCCAAATTTAGTATCAACCCTGGTAAGGAACATGTAGACCTACTATAACCATACAGTAGACTCCCTCTTATCCGGACACCTTTTAACCAGACATCGGTTTAACCGGACTAGATCGGCAGGAAGGGGGTGGTACTGAAACGACTGTTCTAGTGGGAAAGATTTGAGACCAGTTGTTACGTGTCTAAATACAATGCACTCCTAAATTTTAGTCAAATACTGTATACAGTATGCATTTAATCAGTCTGTTTTAACAAATTTGTTGTGACATCGGTTTAACCAGTAAACTGTTACAGTATTGAGTTCTGCAAACTCGGTACTCGATAACCTGGTAGTCTGGATAACTTGGCCATCACCTGGCTCAGAAAATTTGTGATTTTTTGAGTCCGAGTTAAACATGGACGCAAACCAGCTCAAGTCAAATAATTTGCAACTCGTACCAAGAATTTGTTGTACTATATCTGATGACTTAATACTGACTTGTAATATAAATAAAAAAGGCAGTTAAAAAGCTTAAAAATTGTTCTTATTTTTAACCATAGTTCCCGATAACGGCGATAACCCGGCATTTCACAAACTCGGCACCCTTCCAGTCCACATTACGCCGAGTTTGCGGGATTCTACTGTATCCGGATTAGCCTCGGTCCCGAGGATTCCAAATAAGAGGGAGTCTACTGTAGTTAAACACTGCTAGCCAAAATTGAGACCAGGAATCGTACGAGAATTTTGTTGATCAAGAAATGACAGTGAATTGTACTTCAACTTGGTATGGGCCGAGAGTTCATTCAATATCCTATCACCGATCCTCCACTCATTGACTGCATTCAATTATTGTTCAATTGTTTCAATTGGACTCTTTTATCTTAACGCAATCGTATTTATTGGTGACGAGTTTTCCCGCAACCGTGAGAAACCAGAGACGATTACAGTAACAAGAGTGTAAGTACAGTGTAAGTCTATAGCAAGTATATAGCAACGAGTAGTACCCTGAACGTCGGAAACAATCATGGTATAGCTTAGACACAGTATTGGGCCAGAAAAAATATACTTGCTACTCCGGGCTCGTAGTTTGGAGACCTCTGGCTTAGATAAACCCACGAACACCACATCTTACAAAATCTTTCACTAATACACTGTTATCATTAGTTACTTGTAACTTTCTTCTTATAACTTCATATCCCACTGACTAGCTGCTATGTTAGTAACAAATACTCTGTATAAGACATAAAAAAAATGTAAATTGTGTGCTCTGTTGAACTTTGAAGCCCCAATTCGTAAATTCAAAACTTAAAGCTGGGCAACACAAACAAATTTTTATTGAAAAGAGGTTTTTAGATTATTGAAAAATTAAATATAAAAGTTAGTGAAACAATACTGAAAAATACCCCTGTCGCAGCTAACTTGCAGCCTCTAACTTGAATTTCCATTGATCTGATTCAATTTAACTTGAATACTTCATCAAACGTGTTGGATTTATTGTAAGCTATAAAATAACATCACGTGTAACAAATAGGCCTACTTGCTCTTTGCTGCTTAACAAAAAAAAGCAGGGGATAAATAGGCAATGTTTATCCGATTGTTATTTATTTTATTTTCTCATCAAAACTATTTATTCTTTATCATCAGTTATTGTTTGTTTGCAGGAGAGGATTGGTGTAGTGAAAAAGATGCTTCTAGCCCACTCTGTGGTTTTCAGGGCAGAACTACAGAATTCAAAGATTGCTGAAAAAAATGATGTTAAACTACTTGATGTCTTCCCCCAAACTTTTAAGAACTTACTAAGGTAAGCAAAATCTTCTGGCCAATCATAAAATGTGTTGAATAGTTGTGAGATATTTTGGAAATTTACGTTTTTTAAAATTTTTTGTTTTCAGATTTGTCTACGGCTACGATAACACTCAAAATTTGAGCTTTGATGAAGCAGACAACTTGTTGTACGTTGCAGACAAATATTTGATGCACAAGTTAAAAAATAGGCTTGCAATCCGCCTGATGTCTTTGTTGAATCTCACCAACATCTGCAGCCTTATGAATAATCCCGCTTGTTACACCGTTCTCGAGCTAAACTCTAGGATTAATAAGGTAAGTTTTATAATTAATTTGTATAGCCCCAGGATTGCATTATATGACAAACTAGCAGAGTACCCGTCCTTCGTACGCGTACGGGATTGGCATACAAGTATAAAATGCTTGTTGCAGTTATGGGAGAGGACACGGTTTAAGAAAATTTGGCCTTATTAATAAGGTTATATAGGTAGGACATTATTTAATTGATATTTACCTCTAGCAAGGTTGAAATGATTGTTCTTGTATTCAGATACTCCAGACGGAAACAGACAAGGTTTTGGCTAGTCCTCTCTTTCCTGACCTGTCTCCCCTTGGCTTTCTAACAATCCTGCAACAGGAGGTGTGCAACGTACCTGAAATTGACCTTTGGACCTCTGCCATTGAATGGGCTAGGCATAGAGGTAATCAGTGTTCGCACACAATTAGATGTGTCTATTTATATTATATATATATAACAATTTTTAAAAACTGATAATTGTATAAGTGTTTCTCAATATTTTACATGCGCTCTGCTACAAACAGGGCAAATCCTCTTCCAATTGCCTGTTTAGGCTTTTACTAAAATATTTCATCAAACATATTGGATTATTCCCAATTATTTATTTCATCCTGTAGTATCAACATTTTATACAAAAAAACACTTTTTTCCCTTCAGCGATACAGCTAACTTAAGGGGACTGTGTCTCGTTTTACTGCCATCTAGTTGTACCTACGTCTAGTTGAACCTTGTTGACCTAGGGACAACTGTAGGTACAGCTAGACGTAGGTACAACTAGACGGTGGCGTACCCTACAAGTTGTACATGCAGATTTTTAAAGGGTACAACTAGACTTGTGTGCCACCGTCAATTTGTATCACCCAGATTGTACGGATGTGACATGAACCTACGTCTAGCTATACCAACGACTGTTTGTGCCTATGACTAGTCTAGGTCTAGTTGTATCTTCCCTTTGATTTGTCACCTTTTTTAAATGGTTACTGAATGAATTCCTAGTTTAAATGATGCCCCAGATCCAGAGGGGGGCAAAGGGGGCGACCGCCCCCCCTCGGGCATACATATATATATATTTTTACTGCATGTAATACAGTAGTGCATACACATTGCGTAAAATAATTTGTCGCACTAACTTTGGACAAAGAAATGGTACAAAACTGTCATTTTGGAGACTTAGTTTACACAAATTTTTCAAACCCCATGGTTCGCCTCCCCCTTGTGACTGTTCTAGATCCGCCACTGCAGTCAACTGAGTAGCATTAAAAATTTTTTTTTTTTAACGTAGAATAGGTGAATATTAATTTGCTAAACATTATCATGCAATTTCATACATTCATCTTTAATTGTGTAATACAAGTTTAAGTAGTCCAACTATCTTACAAGTTTTTTTGTAAATAGTGTACCTGTTGCTTGAAATCGAGCATTTGTCAATTTCATGATGGGTTAGCCTCTGTATCAAGATATACTGCTTTCACAGATGCACCCGTAGTAAGTTGATAAAAATAGACTGATCTTTTTATGTATGTAGGCAAGATAACTTTGCATTTTTTCATGTTTACCAGTATTTTTTACTAGTTTGATTGTCTCCTGCAATTGTAGCAACATCCGTGACCATATTCTGCGGTCTCGGCGTCACCGCTGGTCGTCTTTCGCTATCGCGTCAACGCCCGGTAATCGGCTTTTTCGGCCACGTTTCGGATGATCGGGCTTCAGATAATCGACGCTTGACTGTAGGTAGTGAGGTTACTGATACCGAGATCTGATTTTGATAAGGATCAGTTACTGATAATGACCTTAAAAATATGATGGCACAAAGCTTAATGTTAATTATCCGTTATTATTGACTTTATATCTATCTATATATTAATACGCAAGCAGTTTTCTTTTCACAGTCATAACTCAATAACGGCTTGATGGTTTTTAAAGTTTGAGGTGTCAAATTAAAGGTATTTTCACAAAGATGTGCAAATACGTCTCAGAATATTTAGAAAGGGTACCACTTAAATACACTTAAGGGCTAAAGTTTGGAAGGCGGCGCTATCTGTTGACATTTGATCAAACTCATTTCCCTTTGTTTACAAACAACATATGGACGTAGTTTGAAATAGTTTTTAAGGTTAATCACAGACTGCAGGACTTCAACTTCCAGAGCAAAGCTGGAATTTATAATTTGTTTCAATCTACTAAGACTGGTTCACAATGAAGAGTTTCCTATCAATACTAAACAACAAAGTGTTTAAGATAAATATTTAATAAATGTTTAATTCTTTTTGTCTATGGTTAAATTGATTTACTTTACATCGTATTTTACTGATTATCATGTAGTTACAGTGCGATGTGATAAAGTGAATGTTTAAAAGTGATTATTCACAGAGCAGTTGTCCGTTACATTACCATATTATCATGTAATTTACAATGTGTATCAAAATTCCAATTCCTTTATAGTGTTTTCTGTTGTTTGGTTAACTTTCTTATTTCATTTCAATTTAAAATCAAATGCCGCCAGTACGACGAAGAGCTGTGAGTGGCTGGAGGGAACGCGAACATGACCACTTGCATCAACCTCTCAATTGAACATTTGATGGGTACATAGTGGTAGTACCACCGTTGTGATAGTCCAATCTCGGACAAATGAACGTTAAATGTTTACATTGCAGTGGCTTGCATATTTTTAAACAAGAAAAGACTGACCAAAACGGTTAAGTTTTTACTCTTTGTTGCCATAAATGAAAGGTTCGTTTACCTCATTTTTGCAATTCACCATACCTTCAGGTTCTTGTTGGAAACTCCCAATCTGAAAATAGGACTGTGAGACTTATATCCAGAAATTATTTGCATAAAGTTCGTCAATTCAATTCTTCTTCTGCCTTTACCATGGTCAGCTCCGAAGCACATTAAGATGAGAAAGTTCCACAGGGGATCTACAATTTTAAGATCCGTGACACGTTTTACCACCGAGTGGGCCCTCTAATTCCTCAAAAAGGTTATGGATCCTGAATACACACAGATATATAAGTAAGTACGACAATGTCACTAGAACTCAAAGGAGAATTAAGCACAATTCTAACAAAAAATGCAATGAAAAAATATGCGGGAAATAGGGTCACAATGCCAACCCATTTGCAAATCTTTGAAGATTGTTGTGGCAGACATTATGTAGGGACGAGAGCTCCGAGGAGTCAAGTGAGATTCTTATGTACATAATAAGAGACAGAACAACAGAAGAAGTTTCTTCCCTCGCTACAACGGTGCTACCTGTGTAGATGTCGCAGCAATTTCTAAAGCTGAAAACAAAGCACCGCCTGGCCAAATAAATAGTATAGTTTTTTCCAACACTAATAATGTTAAACGCGTATCCATTCTAGATCTGTCGTTAGATCCACTTGCTTACCCTCTTACGTTCCCACCCGGAGACTTGGGTTGGGAACCCTAATTTAAACACGCCTAAAACAGAACACATCAAAGAAATAATTTAACAATGCTAGAATAAGAGTAGCGATGATTGACGTCAAGAGAGGAATTGAGCTACATTAGGTCAAAAGCTCACTTTACAGTGTGTGGTTGACATCTACGTGCTCAAAGAGTGCACCCGCCTACTATACATAAGAGTTAACCAAAGCAGTATGAGAGTGAATGTAAATTTAAATATTGTAGATTACTTTTATATTTTTAACATCATAATATTTGTATATTTCTATAATCAGTCATATAAATTATTTTAGAGTGACTATTTGATTAAGGTCTTGCTGTTAATGTTTTTGTTTATTTTTTTAATACAAGTTTCAGTTTTGCTCGATTTCGAGCAACGGGTTATCTAGTTACAATTAAATACTCAAAACCTGAAATATAAACCTTAAATCAATATTATATGTTAATGAATTATGAGTGGAGGTAGACTGTGTTGGATTTACCACTATGCCGTGGTTTAGGACCGCAGGGTATTGTAAAATAAACGCCGTGATCGCTCGTGGTGATGATGTTGTTCCCTTGATCGCGGTAGATGTTTAGGATCCGTCTTCAATCGCGGTGGAAGATGACGATGTCTCATCTGGCTGGAGATGTTCATGATTTATTGTTTCAGGGGTTTCTACCCCCCCTGACCTTAAAACTTGATTTTTTATAATTAAACATTTTTTTTCTACAATAGTTTATAGGTATAATTTTCTAAAGTGTCCCTGGGGAGGACCCCTTTACCTGAAGGGTATTCCATACCCCAAGGCTCCCTGGTGTTTAGGGGGTAAACAGCCTACAACCAAAGATTCCAAGCAATGGCCCCCTCCGAGAATCCGTGCTGGAGCCGCCCCTGTATCATAAATATGTTTGTAGGACTTTCCTTGTTTCGTTATGAATCGAACAATACCAGATGAGTCATAATTCGATTGTCATACTTTGTGTTGACCTGAGCACTCAAAACTATTAAACTATCATCATCATGATGTTTAAATATGCTACAGCCTCCGGATCACCAATAAATATAAAATGCTTACACTATTCCAACAATAAGATTAATAAAAAAAATTGGCACACACTCCGGACAGATTTCTTAAAAAGAGTAAACCACAATAATAATATGCTTACTGAGAATGTATTGTGCATTATTAATACCTAACGGACTATAAAATAGATGGACCAGCACTTCCATTGTTGTTTTATTTATATCTGGAAGTTTCTTATCTAGGCCTATTAGTGGTTTTATTCATTACATCTGTTTTACTCTATAATACAGGGTGTTTCGTAACTTTCTTTCGGTCATTTCTTTGTTCTTTCTTTTTATCCTATTTCTAGTTGGCGTTAACCAGCACAATCTCGGTGCATGATTCGAGTGCACCAATCTCTCTACCAACCCAGGGTTCCTTATCATTGGGGTAAATAAATGAAACTGACTTAATGAAACACCTGATCTCAGTCAGTAACAAAGCTACACAGATCATCTCACACCATTCTTCACTCATATTTGAGTTAAAATATGCACCTGGGTGGCACCCCAAGTCCCTAATCACAGTGATTGATAATTGACTGTTGATTGAACCTTTAAAGGCATTATTTCTGGGTTCATAAGAAATCTAAATTCAGTTTCACATTTAAATTATCTGTATGTTAATGGTTGAAATGAAATGAAATGAAATCAACTTTATTCATAATTTGCAAACATGTGCACGAATGGCGTCATTACATTGGATCAAAATCATAATGCTTAATCCTAAAAAAGTACAAGACATAATCACTATTGAGAATGTTCTTATTCTAATATGTTATGTAGACGGAAATATTCATTCTTTGAATACAGGGGTTTAGTTAAAAAGTACATTTTTGGCTTATTTTTAAACTTTGTAGTTTTTGTGTAGTCTTTTAATTTTGTTGGAAGAGCATTGTTTCATTTTATACCCATATACATTGGTTTTTTTTTCAAAAAATCTTAATCTATGGGAAGGTGTTGCATAGTTATTTCTGTTTCTGGTACAGTATTGATGAGAATCCCCTACCAGTGAGACATTATTTGAATTTTGGACAGTATATAATATACATTGATAGATATAATAGCTATATACAGTCATTATGCCTAGTTCTTCAAATTTTTCCTTAACAGAATCTTGCCAATCCAAATTTAACATAATGCGGATTGCTCTTTTCTGGAGGATTAAAATTCTGTCTAAATTAGCTTGTGATGTTCCTCCATAAATACTTATACCAAAGGATAAATGTGAGTGAATATGGGCAAAATAAACCAATTTTAGTGATTCAAGTTTACAAAATTTGGATAATCGATAAAGTGCAAATAGGCCTGTTGACATTCAATTTGCCACATGATCAATATGATAATTCCAGCTTAATTTACTGTCTATGTATAACCCTAGAAATTTAGTGTTCTCAATAATTTGTATATCTTCACCGGCTAATTTTAGTGCTGGGTAATCTGAGTTGGTATTAGTTTTTAGATTAAAGCGTGTAAAATTAGTTTTGGAATGATTTAGTAATAGCTGATGATCTGAAAAAAATTGATTGATGTTCATCAGGTTATCGATGGCAGATGTTTCTATCTCATGAACAGATTTTCCGCTTACAAGATGATTAGAATCATCGGCATATAAACAGATGGCATTTCTTGTTGAATTTGAGATAACATTGGGTAATCCATTGATATATGTAAGAAATAGTAGAGGACCCAAAATAGAACCCTGTGGTACACCATGTTTAATCGTTCTCAACTGTGATCTTGTTGTAACCATCTGGTTATGATTGTTTAAGTGTCTAATTTCTACAAACTGTTTCCTATTAGTTAAATATGATTGAAACCATTTTAGTGAAATTCCTACAACCCCTAGTCCTTCCAATTTTTTAAATAATTTATGATGAGATACACTGTCAAATGCTTTGCTTAGGTCCATAAATATTCCAATTACTTTATCTCCCCTATCTACTGAATCAATAATTGACTCAATATATGTAGCAGCCGCTGATATTACAGAATGGTTTGATCTAAAACCGTGCTGCTCTTTATCGAGTAGATCATTACTTTCTAGAAAGTTAACAAGCTGATTATACATAGCTTTTTCATAAATTTTAGACATGGGGCGATAGTTTGAAACATCTAATTGGTCCCCTTTTTTATAAAGAGGTTTTACTTTAGAAATTTTTAATTTATCTGGAAATATGTCGGATATAAATGATGAATTTACTAAGTGTGCAAATGGTTTTTTAAGTGAACTCTGGGCATGCTTTATTGCTGTTATGGGAACATCGTCAAAGCCTGATGATAGTTTATTATCAAATTTGGAAATTATTTTACTGATATCTGTCTCATTGATTGGTTCACATCTAAACTTATTTTGTTGGTTATTTATTACTAAATTAGGTACTGATAAATTTGGTGTATTTATTTTTGGAATTACATCAGAATCAACTACATTGACATAAAAATCATTAAATTTTAAAAGTGTTACATATAACCATTGGGTCATTATATACTTTTGCATTTACCTCTATTTCATCTATGCTCATCACAACCTTTTTTTTTTATATTTAAATTAATTAAATTCCAAGTTGTCTTGGATACATTCCCTGAACTCAAATTTTTTTCATCCATATAACTTTGTTTGGCTTTGAAAATATTTTTCTTGAATGCTTTGTTCATTTCTTTGCTGAATTCACTAAATATTCATTTTTTGTTATTCTCCCCAATGCGCTTTTTTCTATAATTTTTTTCCTCTCGGTTTCTAGCTCATGATTATTCCAAGGAACTTTTTGATCAGTATCTCTACATTTAGTGATAGGAAAGCACATATCAAAGTAATACATAAAAATACTGTTGAAGATGTTAAATTTCAACTCTACTGGTGCAAAGTAGACCTCCTCCCAACTTTCCTGGCTCAGCATATTTGAGAATTTTTTAAGATTTTGGTTAGAAAATATCCTTACTGTTTTAGTTATTGGTTTATTGTTCATATTTTTATTGGGCAAGTTAAATGTTAATAATTGAGCATCATGATCAGAAATTTGTGTGTTTAAACCACTAATTTGCATGTTGTTAGGATAAAAATTAATGAAAATGTTATCAATAGCACTCTCAGTCTTTTCAGTTACTCTAGTTGGAAAATTTACTAAAAATTCAAAATTATATGAGCCAAGAATATCATTAAGTAGTTTAAACTCATTACAGTTTGGGTTTAGAACATTTATGTTAACGTCTCCAGTCATAATTACATTAGTGTATGTTTTTGAGAGGATTTCCAGGGATGCATTTAGTTTTGTCAAAAAGATATTAACATCAGAGATAGGAGAGCGATATACACCAGCTAGCACAAAAGAAAATGAATCACATTTAAATTCTATCAAACAGCATTCAAATTCCTTTTCAGATGTTAACTAATTCATTGACGGTAAATTCAAACTTTTAATTTTGAAATTTTAAGCCTTTAAATTTGTTTTTGATAGTATTATGACTCCACCTCCAGCATTTAAACTACGTGAATAAAAAGTGTTAATATTATATCCGGTTATGGTGAGAAGCTCCAATTCATGACTTTTCATTTTGTGTTCACATAGTACTATTATATCTGGGTCAATTTCTTGAATAGTAATTTCTAATGGTTCTATTCTGCTCAGTAGATGTTGAATATTAAGGTGAAAAATTTTTAAGATGTGTGATTTTTGTGATATTTTATCGTGTGCTGCTGGTTTACAATTTTTTACTTTATTGGTATATTTTTCGGAGTGTCGGAGTTTAAAGGTAGGCTGTGTTTATGGGCTGTGTGAGATTGAGGAATGTCTAGGAAGGCTATTTGGGATAATTTTTCCACTGAAACGACGCCATCATCGATATTACACACACTATTGCTCTGCTTTTTGGTTACACTTTTTGTCACTTCACTGTAACTCAGATGCCCCGGTGCTACTGGTGGGCTGGCAGGTGTAGCTGAAAGGTTGTGTGTTCTCGACATCTGTAGATTCTCGTCCGTCCGAAGTGGAGATGGTGTTGAGGTTGAGTCAAGGTCAAGCTGCACATTGACGGTCGTTGGTGAAGATGAGGTGGATACCAAGTTAGTTGTGATGGGACACTCTGCATCATACTCTGCTTCAATTTCAGCTTTTAAACGTAAAAGGAAATCTTCATGTGGTAATCCTCTCCATAGGGGTCTTTTAGCTGTTTTCTCTTCATAGGAAACAATGTGCACATCAGCTCCTGTGGATTTATGGAATTTCACTATGTGTCTTGCAAACGTGTGTGGGTGAACAAGATCTCTTACACATCCAATTGCTGAACAGAATAAGGTCTTTAATCCCTGGGCTTTGAAGTGATCCTGGAGTTTCTTGAAAGCCATGCTATAGTCCTCTGGAGTCGGCTTGTCAAAATATGCTGCTTTTGTTATTAAACTATAAATTTTTGATCCACCTGTAATACTCTGACAAGCTAGATGTTTTGAAATGTGATCAGCAAGTAGGGGTCGTCCAAACTGTTTACGGAAAACAACTGCCACTCCCGCCGACATATGTCTGTCATCTGATATGGAGTGAGCGAAACCAACTGTTTGGTCAGTTCTGAACTGATCTATAACCTTATTCATATCAGTATTGCAAATTTTGATTTTACTGTTGAGTGTTTGTTGTGGAGATGGAACTGGCTTGGTTGTCTGAACTGTAATTTCTTCTATTAGATTGGCAATTTTCAGTTTACCCTGTCTGATCATGTGAAGCCCATGACTTGTAAAGCAGTGTCGTGGGAATAAGTGAACCGGCAGAAGTTTCAAGTTAGAATGTTTTTTTGACATTTACTCACAGAGCCACAATTTAGAATTTTTGATTTATTTTTTAAATTGAAAATCCTGATACTGAGAATTTAGAAAATTTTCATTGAAATACTAAGTAATTAACATAATGCAAAAAATCAAAAATCTATATACTGTATTAATAAGGCAAGCATGTGTCTTTAAAACAATTTTTTCTCAGCTCGTGTGCATCACAGTGAAAATCTACACATACTGTTAGAAAGATGTTTTCCTGTAGATGTGCAGAATCCCTTAATAAATTAAAATAATAAATTAAAAAGATAATCTTGATACTGAGAATTTTGAAGTTTTTCAATGATATACTAAGAAATTTAATTATGCAAAAAAGTTGAACAAACAAAGTACAAGAGTAAACTGTAATTCTCCATAAAAATTATATAGAAATTTTTATTTTGCAATTTTTGAATTTTCTCCATGACTAATACTCTACATAAACACTTAAATATACAGGTACTAAATTAGTTGTTTGTATAAGCTCTAGTAGGTGTAACCTCTTAAACAAGGTGATACGTTGAAGGGGAGATACAACTATTGTAGGCACAACTATTCGTAGGTACAACTAGTCTTAGATACAACTAGACGCAGGTATGAGGTACACAACTTATGAGGTATGATAAGTGTATGAGGAACAACTTGACGCCTGTCACCAAAATACAGCAGATACAACTAGACCCCGGTACAAGTAGACGGTGACCCAACTTAAGTAATCGTTAAATCTAATCAAAATAGATGGCAAAAATATGACTGGTTTATGGAAATATTTTAGTAAAAATTCCAATCATACAAATTGAAATTCACTTTGTCTGAAGGTTTTTTGTGACAAGAGTATTTTTTAGTTTTAGTTATTGTTAGAATAATTATTTAGTAGTATTACTCTTTTTACCGAAAAGATAAAATTTTAGTTTCAGGAGAGTTGAAAAGTGGAGAAGTCTTGAGGGAAGAGTTAAATGACCATCTTAAACACATTCGAATCTGTACATTGTCTGCCCAAGATTTGATGACTCAAGTGGTACCTTTAGAAGTGCTTACGTATGGTGAACTCAAGCTGATAGGTCAAACTCAGAGAACTGGGAAAGTACAGCCTGGCTTGACAACAATCTGCAACAAGATTGATAAGAGGCATGAACCATTGTCAAAATTGATGGTACAAAGATTGAACCTACCTTATTTCCGTGGTACGTGTAGTCAATCAACAATAACTATCAATACTAAAGCAGTCGCAATAGTGTTGTGCTCAGTAAAGCTTTACAGCTATGGTCTAAATCAACACCAATGCAACTGCACTATAATAATACGAAAGGGGACAGAACCACCTACTGTAGTGACATTTCGAGAACTAATTGATGGAGATTCAAACAGGAGGGTCATTCCAATTATTCCTGATGACATGAGAAATGTGCGTTTGTCTCCAAATTCAACGTATTCAGTCAAATTTGTATTTTCTTGTGGAAAGACTCATTACGATTACTATGGGTTGTCATCAGGAGTAAATGGTAAACACTTTGACATTACATACCAGCCTACTAATAATGGATACACAGGTTTTCCTATATACACAATATGCTACAAAACAGTAAGGACAGGACAATGATGAACAATGGTGATCTCTGAGCGGGATACAACTTGACAATGTTGAAGAAATGTTTTCAGGTGTGATTAATATTAGTGGACAGAATAGTCAGAAACATAAACACCAAATAAAAAGTGATGTGTTCCTATACTTTATTTGAAAATATCTTTTGTGATAGGATAAAAAATCACTGTGGAAATAAATTGGATGTAAGAAAAAATAAATGTTTAAAGAACTATTTGAGTTCCTTGTGAGCCTCTTACTTTTTGTAAAGTGACATTTTAATTTAGTTTTTCATCAATGTGACAAAACTTTACTTCTTTCAACAGAATGTAATTTTTGTTTATTTGTCGTTAAGAGTGCACCTTTGTTAATACTAGCCTGTTAAATATTATATATTGTGGTTTTGTTGTCAATAATAAGACATGATTAAATTTGTAAGGCTTAATTTTGCATTTATTTTCACACACAAATATTCTAGAAATTTGTATGTATGTTGCTATTCTATGCCATGGTGCTATAAAATATTGTTGTAGTAAACTGTACGAATTGTACTCTAGTGTAAAAGCAAAAGAGCAACTAAAACTACTACTTCCAACTGTAACTGGTCACCAGAAGCTTCAAAATACATTATTTTAATTAACCTACTAACAATAACTTGTAAAAATATTACTGTTAGCACCTGTTAATAAACAATGACAACTATCTTCTAATTGACTTGCCCAATAATCATAACATTTCTTTTATTTATTTTTTATAAATTTCTATAGAGTTTGATGTTTATTCTAGCATCAAAGAAACTAATTTTTGAAGACTAAAGTATTCCTTTTGGAAAACCGGGCAGCCAGTAGGGATGAACATCGATAGTCGATGATTTTTACATGGATGGTAGGTTACCGATGTTTTGGTCCAAGTATTGAAATATTGATATTTCCACAACTGAATTGTATTATAGTTTTGTTAAAAAATGTAAATGTATTTTGGTCTTGACTAGAAATTGATGTTTCTTTTAGCGAATTTCCCATATAGGGAATAAGCTATTACCGTAGTACTCATGGTAAGACCTGGACGCGGGACCGATTTTTTTTTCGTTTTGAGGTCCCTAGAGGCCAAAAACAGCATCCGTTCGAATTCATATATATATATATATTTATATTTATATATATATATATATATATATATATATGTGTGTGTGTCCGTTAGCATGATAACTCGAGCAAAAATGATCCGATTTTGATGAAATTTGGTACAAACGTGTAAACCTACGTTTATTCGAACGAGTTCGCGATCCAGCATGATCGGACCATGGGAACGGGGGTTTACGGGGGGTTTTATGGGGTAAAAATAGGTTTTTCCCATTTTTGACCCATAAAAACATAAAATTCATCAATTTCTTTCCAAACCATTTTGTAGAGCTTAAAAAAACAAATAATTTAGTATATTGAAGCGTTATTATGCGCCTAATGGTTACGGAGAAAATTCCAAAAAATTGTAAATTTAAAATTCCCATGTTATTCTTATGGAGAATAAGTAAACTGTTGTAGTTTGCTTGTTTATGAACATATTTTGATCAAATTTGGAAATTTTTTTTATTTCTTACTAAATATAAACATTTTACAATAAAAAAGTCGTACCCTCCCTGATGCAGCAAACCTAAGTACTTGTTAAAAAAGTAGTCTAAACTAATAACTAATTCTATTTAAATCGGGAATTTAAATGTTATATTTGTAAGTAGACATTTCAGTGTAAATCCAATCAGTCAAATGGATTTGCTTAGTCTGCAGGTTTGCTGCGGCGGGGGTATTGTATTCATTGTATGGTATTGAAAGTGTGATCAAATATCACATCCATAAATATCACGACTAGACTTAGACAAGTGTAGTGTAGAGTGAGTGAGATAACTATCTAAATAAACACATTTGAGAGATGCTTGTTCTAAATGCTATGCTACCTAAAAATAAATTTATTTGTACGTTTGTACTACATTTCAGTGGCAGCACTCCTGCTCTCCAGCATAATAATTTAATACCGATATTATATGTCTGGTAAATGTGAAAGAGAAACTTCCAATGTAGAACGTCTAGCTAGCAGTATAAACTAACCAACGTAAGGGAGTGTGTTAAATCAATGCTAGTTGTGCCTAAAATCTCCCTTTCAATTTATCACTTTGTTTACTATTGTGAAACTTGTACATTTAATGATGTTAGCCTCCGAATCACTTTAGTTAGTTAAAAATGGTTTAAATACCTTAACTGTCAGGGGATGGAGTCGTAATTACACTACTGCAGTTTCAGCACTCAGGGGGCTTTCTTCAGGTGTCAAAGGAGGTCAAAAGTTGTCATTCATACGAATTCGTCACATTTAAACTACGAGAACACAAATACGGACACGAACATGAACTTAAAAAACGAATACACACGTAAGAGCACAGAAAACGTACTACTATAACCGGTTATATTAGTATACTATATACGGTTATAGTAGTACGTTTTCTGTGGTAAGAGTCACAAACATTTCCCATGGGTTGATTTAAGCGCGACGCGTGCGAGGAGCTATAGTCTAGACTCTTACGTGAATCACCTGCAAGTTGAGGTTTTTAAACTATTTTTAATGAACTTATAAAAACAAATAATTTAGAACATTGAAGTGTTTATGTATAGCATAGTAACTGAGAAAATAAAAAAAACTGCAAAATAAAAATGTCTGTTATTTTTTTGGAGAATGAGTAAAAGTCTTGTAGTTTGCTTGTTCATTTATAGTTTTTTGCATGTGTTCGTTTTAAATGCAAAATTTCAGTATCAAGATTATCAATTTAAAAAATCAATGAAATGCTAAATGGTGGCTATGTGAGTGACCATTGACTTACAGATGATTTAAATGTGACACTGTATTTAAATTTCTTATGAACCCAGAAACAATGTCTTTAAAGGTAACTTTGGTAAATTAACTTTTTCTCAAAAACGGCAAACGCTAGGAAAAAATTGAAAAGCTTGTTTTGAAGGGGATTGGTTTTGTATTTGAAATATTGATAATGCTCAACCAAGTTGTGTCGCATGTTATTTATATAAATTAACAAAAACTGGATGATCTCGCGCCTGCAAGGGGTGCAAACGCCATCGCCCGCACAGGAATCCAGTGCAGTGTTGCCACGATGGACCTTGACCGAGCGTAAGGTGATTCACTGCAGTGTATGTCACTGACGACTAACTCACAGGAAATATCAGGTGTGGCATTCTTCCAAAGGGTCCAAAGTTTTACCACCCCAAATATGTCATCAGTAATCCAACTCATTCTGTCTTCAATTTTAGCTAGAGTCACATCGCTAAAAATGGGTGCCAAATCTAAATTGTCAAATTCGGAATATGCAATGATTGCCAGTGCTATATGTTTTTTTAGAAGTGAGGGAGTGCCGTTGGTGCTCCAAAGCCCTCTTTAGAAAAGGTTAATACATGGTTAATAATTAATAATAACTGCTGTTCAGTTTTGACTCAACAGTTCGTAGCCCATCGCTGCCCAGTGTCCAGGTGTTCAATTTGGCAACACTGTACGGGGTTTGCGCCCAGTCAGAGCCGGTGGCGGTCTGGAAGTGCCGTATTCGGCCTCCGCTCTATCCAAATAAAATGTTAACTTTAAATAATATGCGTAACAATGCGATTGAGCAGTATCAATATTTCAAGTACAAAACCAAAAACCTTCAAAAAAAGCTTTTCAATTTCTTTCTAGCGTTTGCAGTTTTTTTTAGAAAAAGTTAATTTACAAAAGTTACAACAACAACTTTTTGGGTAGAGTAAAAATTCTGAAACTACAAAAATTAATTCATTATATATGTGTCTACTGTATATTGTATTAAAGTTTGATAAGGTTCTGACGTTTAGTTTACATTGTGCGAATTTTCAAAGTCATAAGATGGGTTTTTATACTCTAAAAACAGGGAGATTTTAGCTTCCGACTGCCATAAAAAATTTCCTAAACGAGCTAAAAAATTTTTATTTTCACAGGAATACGTAGAATAAAACAATGAAAATTTAAATATACTACGTGTTTTTCTAAGTTAGTTTGGTTACTATTTTGTAGACCTCCAAACTCGAGTGTCTAAACTTTTTTCCCCGATAGTAGAAGAGAAGAAGAAGAAGAAACGCAGAACCAGAACAGAACAAGAAACGAAACGAAGGAAGGCTGAAATTTGGGTGGAGTAGAGGTAATTCAAAGAAGTCGCGGGAATTTTCAGCAGTGTAGAGGGTAATGAGGGTAAGCGACCGCACCGCGAAACACGTGATCACGGCGAAGCCACGCCCTTCTCCCAGAAGGGAGGGGCCGGGACCTAGCTGACCGATTTTAGTTGTCGGTCGGTACCATTGACTATATCGGTACCCACTTGATATGTGATCTAAGCGAAATGGTACCTAGGTGAAAGGTTGCCTAAAAGAAGGCCTCCCATAAATACTACGTAAATACAGGGTGAACAACTTAACTGTACTGCCAGTGCTATCTCAGACTCTATTAGATTTAGAGAATAGGAACTTAAACTATTTTCTTATGACATACACAAATATGAATTCCACTTTTTTTATCAACACTATTTTCCAAAATTGGAGGTTAACTGGGCCTGTTTCTTGATGCATTGCAAATGTCCAAAATATAATTTTTGAGCTGTTTTATATGTCACTTGTCTTGTCAGTGTCAAAAGTCAAGTGCAATTATTGTGTCACAGTCACATTAGCAGTAGAGTCACTCAGAGTGTCGCATCCAGGGGGCACAAGTTGTTTTTCAGGATTAATTTTGCCAACAGCGTAATTTAGAGGCTTCTGATTGACTATAACGAAGGTTTAGTAATTGAAAAATTATTTTTGTTCATAGAATAAAATTATAAATGCCTCAAATTCAATTTTATATTTTTTTATTATGAAATTAAACCGTCATAACCTAACCAAACCAACCAAACGTGCTGACAATGAAAAATTTAATGAAGGTTTATTAATCGAAAAAAATAGTTCTGTTCGTAAAATAAAATTATAAATGCCTCAAATCCTATTTTATATTTTTTTTTTCTAAAATTAAACTATCATAACCTAACCAAACTAACCAGACTTGCTTATAATGAAAAATCAATTGAAGGTTTAACCGAAAAAAATATTTCTGTTCATAAAATAAAACTATGAATGGGTCAAATTAAATTTAATAATGTTTTAATTATAAAATTAAACCACCGTAGCCTAACCAAGCCAACCAAACTTGTTGGTAATGAAAAAAATCCAATACAAAAAAATAGTGATACGGGCGGGATTCGAACCCGGATACTTCGGATCATCAGCCTAGCACTCTATCCACTACACCACCGAGGCCGATGGCATCAACCGTATCGTTGCGGTAATGATGTTCCCTCAAACAATCAGAAGCCTCAAAATAATACTGTAGGCAACACTAATCCTGAAATAAAAATTCAGCATCCAGGGGCCCATTTCATAATAAAGTACAAACTAATATTATTAGTAAATCAGCTGATCGCCCAATGCAAATCTAATGGAAATTACAAGTTACAAGTTACAACTTGTAACTTGTAGTTTATTATGAAATTGGCCCCAGGTCTATTCAAGTACAGGTACAAGACCAGCCGACCAGCCTGGCCTTCCCACCCCCATATTAGTACAGGTAAA